GGAGGGTCCCTATTTTTAGTAGTAGAGTAAGAGTCCTACTTAAAGTCTTCTTGATGACGTGACGCGATTTGATTGGCTCTCTTTAAATTGATATTTATCTCTTATAACTTGGAAGAGAAGAAATAATCCTATTGGCCAATAATTAATTGATAATTATCTCCATAACTTATTTTGCAAGATAAATTATAATTTAATTTAAACACAATTTAATTGGCTAATTTAATTAAACAATTAATTAATTTTATGCGTCCACATGTCTTCACCAAATACATTATTTGAGTAGATTAAAAAAAAATACAATTTGAATTTTTTTTATTAATTTTTCACTATATACAACATACTGGATATGTTAAGTCCCACCTAACTTAACACATCTTTATCATCAAAGTTTATATATATAAAACAAATTAATGATGACTACTAACTATATTTTAGATAAAACATTTTAATTTAGGCGGCGGTTATATGCAAGCCCATTTTCTTATTAATTCAAAACCTTCAATATAAAAATACTAATTTATCTTTAATGAAATTTAAAATTAAATAAAAAATACAAAACATTAAAAAATAAGAAGAAATCATTTCCTTTGTGCAAGACCAAATAAAATACATAAATCCAGAAACCCCTCTTCCTTATTTCACGACTTAAAACTCTCCTTCTTCTTCCCCTTCTTCTTCACAAACCCACAAAGAAATCCTATACACCAAAATTATCAAATACATACCAAACATTCACGATGGAACCAGAAAACAATGATATGGTGGTTTACGAGGGTGGAGAACACAATGAAATATGTTTTAACCCTTTATTTTTGCTTTTGGGTCGTTTTTTTTTTGTTGGGAAAAAAATTCGACGATACAAAAAATCGGTCTGCAAATACCGATTTTTGTTACTATAGTCGGTAACCACATTTCGATTATTTTAATAAAAATCGGTACTTAAACACCGATTTTTGTAGTAAAAATCGGCATGACAACACCGATTTGTTTTTGTATTATCGGTATTGTCATGCCGACTTGTACTACAAAAATCGGTTTTTCAATACCGATTTTATTATCTGTGTTTTTTTAAGACCGTTTTCTCATACTTTCGTGCATCAACCTAGGGGATTGATGGAGGATTATTCAAATGAATTATCTAACGAATAAATATTTGAGATACGGAAAGCTCTACTCGATTGGGTTAAAGGCGTGGTAGACGCCACCGAATGGTGATAAACATTTTCGTTCCAAATATTTAAAAAATATCAATTAACCAAATATATAATGTATTATTTAAAAAAAAAATCAAAAAATATCGGTATTCGAAAACCGATTTTGTACTCAATAATCGACATTAGAACGCCGATTTTGACTTGAAAAGTCGGCGTTGTGTCGCCGATTTGGTTAACAAAAATCGGTATTATGTCGCCGATTTTCGTGTACAAAATCGGTCTGGATAAACCGATTTCGGAAACCAACGAAAAAAAATAAAAAAAACAATTTCAATCTCAATTTTTTTTCCAAAATCGGCCAAATCATTGCAACCCAACAAGAAATAAGCATAGATTAATGTTCATTCGTACATATTTATCAAGAATCGATGTTCGATTAATGTTTTCGAATTTACAAATAAAAATTTAGTAAAAAGGACATCGATGCTCGATTAATGTTTTCGAATTTACAAACAAAAGTTTAGTAAAATGGACTTACTTGTTGGTGGTGGTAATGGTGCAGTGGGTGGGTCGCTGGTCATAGTCGGTGCGGTGAAAGTCTCGCTGGTTGGGAGTCGTGATATTGTTTTTTTTTTTTTTTTGATTTTTGGTCTTGAACAAATTAAAAATAAGATTTATTTGTATTTGAGTATTATTTGTGGATAAGGGTATATTTGTCATCTTTGGTCTTGATGTAATAAAATTAGATTAATTTGCGGACTTGAACTAATAAACTCCTTTATATGGTTTTGAACTAATAAAAAAATGGGCTTGCATATAACGGCCGCCTTTAATTTATGATATTTTAACTTCATTTTATATGAATAGTACTATTATATGCGGAAAAAAAAAGAAAAAAAGAGGGGGTCGCGCTGTCTTGTACCGTCGCCAATCTTTTGTCAATCCTCTTACTTATATTGGTTCTGCCACTGATTACACCTAATAAAATATATCTGATTACACTTAATTAAACAACGATGTATATATATTTTACACGCATTTATATGCAGATCATATGTAACTATGTAAATCAAATGTGATTAACAATTACAAAATTGTGATTTAATTTTATAGACACTTAAATTTGGAAATTAAAAGGCAGTTGAGAATATTGCTGTTTTTAATATAGGAATGAAAAGTGAAGTTAATGGCAGGTTTTCTTTTTTGTATCAATCTACATTGTGTCAGTTTGTGGTGGGTGCCTACGTGTCTTAGGCAGCAGCATCCAAAAGCGAATCCAATAAAGATGCTCGTGCTTCATCATTTCTTCTCTAATGTTTCTTAGTACTATTTCGACATGTTAAAAAAATATATACAAATTATTTATAAAAATATTTTTAGATAGTTGCAAAATTACCATTTTAATTTTGGGCTTCTCTAAAAATAAATTGTTTTAACTTTTAATTTATAATCTTAGTAGTTTTTATGGTTTAAAAGCACTTTCAAAAATAAGGATCAAGAGTATTTGAAATTCATACTCTTATTGAGTTTATCTAAATTCATTTAATATAAATATTTTAGATATTTTACCAACAAAAATTAGCTAAAATTTAAAGTTGATTTACAAACATCAATAGTTTCTAAATTAACAGCTTAAAATTGAATTTTTGAAAGGATTTGGAAACCACTAGCAATTTTGGAAATAAATATTAATTATCAACTCTATTCAGGATCATCAACTTCTACTTATACAAAAAGTTTTGAAAGTACTCTCATAACCAATAAAACTTAATAATGGTAACCACAAGTTCGAATCTCTCTGTCAACTGTCGCTAGATCGAGTTTATCACATATGGTTAGTCTAATGTGATTTACATCTTTCGTATTGCTTGCAAGTTATTATACGAGACTAAGGTTACCCATTATAATATCTATACGGTGGACTGCAAATTCCTTCTTTATCAAAAAAATAAAATAAAAATAATGGTAGCCAAACGAGGTGTAAGATAATACATACTCAATGACAATTTACTTTATAAAATTTGATCCATGGTGTACAAATATTCCTTCAACCAAAATATAGGGCTTTTCTTGAAATTGTCTTTATTTGATCCCAAATTTTCTAGAGTCCGAGGTTGCTCCATATCAATACACTCTTTAAAGGTAATTATCTCTTCTTTTGAGTCAAACCAAATGTATAATATATCCCACTTGAATTTCCTCTTCCTTTCATCTTTAATTATGGGAATCTCCAATAGTTACTTGAGAAAATTTTATTAATGTGTATACCTTTTCAATCCAAAAACTAAAGAAAATGAACCCATAAAAGTAATTTTAACATTAAGTGTCCCAACAAAATCACAGAGTTGTTCATAACTTTAAAGATAGAATTATGAAAATGCTAGCCTCCATCTTAAATATGTATTGTGTTACGTCCAGTAAGTAAATTTAGTGGTGTTCATTCGGTACGCTAAAATCTCATACCGTTACCGAACCGAAATATGCGGTTCGGTTAAGTAAATAACCGAATTACCGAAATTTTATTGAACATATCTGAAAGTTTGATTTTTTTAATAGATTTTAGTTTAAATACTAATATATATATATATATATATATATATATATATATATATATATATATATATATATATATATATATATATATATATATATATATATATATAGACACACACACACACATAACCGAATAACAAATCGAATTCCCAGTTTACCAAACCGATGAACACCCCTAGATAAATTTGACATCCTAAAGGTGGACGTATAAAACAAATACATACATAGTTGAAGGGTGATTGTAATTACCCAAACATGAATGATTTTTTCATAATTCAATTTTATCTCGGGGGTTTGGCGTAATTTGCCCTAATAACTAAGAAGTAAAGGTGATTGGATTAAAATGATGGGCGAATGGTAAAAAAACTCATCACATGGGACTTAAATGCATTTTGGTTCACAAAAAAAACAGTTTCTCAATTAAACTCATCCCCATGTCTTTAGTCTAAAATACCCTCCATAATATAATTCTTATCAATTCCACCCATTATGCTCTAACTTCCTTAATATTACACATTGACCCCGGATTAAACATATATCACATTAACCCCCAATTTTTTTATTTTTTTCAGAAAATAATTTTTTTTTCTGAAATGTTTTTTTTCCGGCCAGATTCCGGCGTTGAATTTTTTTTTTCCTGAAATTTTTTTCCTGCCGGTCAACCACCGTTGACCGCCGAACTCCGGCGTTGACTTTTTTTATTTTTTATTTTTTTTACTTGAATTTTTTTTCTTAGAAAAAAAAGTCAACGCCGGAGACCGGCGGTCAACGCCGGCGACCGGCGGTCTCCGGTGGTGGCGGGTCAAAATTGGGGTCAAAATTGAAATTAGGCTTAAAATTGGTTAATTGATGAAATTGAGCTAAATTAGGGTGTAAATTATGAAATTGGAGTTGAATTGAGTTTCAATGAATTGAGGGTAATTTTGGTATATATATAGAGATTTTACTTATTTGCAAATAAGTTTGAATGAGTTGAATTTACTTGAAAGACAAAAAAGTTGGATGTCCCCTTTTAATTAAGTGTCCTTGTCATGGGCATATTTGTCATTTACCTTAAAATGATTGGTTGGTGAAAGAAAAATCCAGCAACCATTCTGGACAAGTGTAATTGGACTAGGCTTTTCTGTACAAAGCCCAACTGCCAATAGATATTCAATCAATTTAATTACCAGAAAAGTAAAAAAACAAAAGAAAAAGGAATTAAAAAAAAAGAGAGGAGAGAGAGAGAACAAGGTAGGGCCCACACGCGGGTTCTAGGTGCTTCTATAGGTGAGGAAATACACTTGTGCTTAAAAATCACCCCCAAATTCACACGCAGATGATACACACACACACACACACACACACACACACACACACTCTCTCGTGCACCCGGCAGTTGCATACGCTCCAATTTTGCTGTCCATCTCACTCTACATCAGCACACTCTGACGCTTAATTCTTCTCTCTCTAGAAATTCTATTTCGCGCACGGGATTTTAGGGTTTTTGCTTCAATCATCAGTAGTCAATCACAGCTGGTAACAAGGTTTTTTTCTCTAAATTTTCATAATTCTGTAGTTTTTATTTTTGATCAGTCGTTTCGCTTCGTTTATTCTACATCACATGTACTTATCCGTGTATGCATGTATGTGTTTGTGCGTATAATGAGGTTTCGGATCTGGGCTTTTTTTTTTTTTTTTTTTTTATTGTTGCTATATGCTTTGTGATGCTGATATGGGTTTAGTTCTTGGTTTAGTTTTGATTAAGGTATAAATATTTTTTAGTGTTCAAACAATTTGATACAATTTTCCACGGAAAAGTTAGAAAGATGTATGATTTGACAAAATAACTGGGGCAGGGAGTCGAAGAAATGATGAAATTCGATAATGACTTAATTGGGGAAAAGAGGGACCGGAGTTTAAATCAGATTAATTGAATTGTGTGGATTTCGATGGAGTCGAAGAAATGATGAAATTCGATAAGAACTTAATTGGGGAAAAGAGGGACCGGAGTTTAAAAACAGATTAATTGAATTGTGTGGATTTCGATTTTAAGTAAGAAGCTTTAATGAGTTTAAAGCCTTTTATGGTATCAAGTGATAATGTTTGATGGAGGCATCTGGCCGAAAGTAGTCATGATCGGCCAATTAGTAAAGTCCTTGAATTAAGTAATTGTTAGGAGTTAAGACTCGGAGATTGGCGTCGTAGATTTAATGCTTTGAACAAAGACTTTCAAATCGGGCAAGAGTACAGGAAACATGTAATCCTATTTCATTCCTTATGAAGGATATCAAACTCTAAATGCTACTTATGTCCCAAGATTCCATTTTTGGTAGAAAATGTTGTTTCATCGAGTATGGATTTATTATAAACGGCATGTATATCCTCGATGTTTACGTGCTAGAATGAAACTACAGACAAGTACATGATGCAATAATCGGTGTGGATAGAGTGGGGCACTGACACGTGTTTTTATTGTCTCGCGTGTAGTCGTGATCTACTGACTGGTGTGTACCTCTTTTATGCTTGGAAAAACATATGCACATCGTTCTCTCTAAACCCTTTACCAATTGCCTGAATACTTAATTAGGCCAAACTGAAATGGTACTAATTGGATATTTTTCCTCTTCTTAGGTGAATTATTTTTCTGCTATGTTTGCTATAATTTCTTGAGTAAACATATAAATTGTTTTAATTTATCATGTTTCCATAGGACTAGAGGTGAAAAGGAAAAGGGGCTTCCTTTTACATAATCTTGGATGTAAATAATGCGGCTCTAGTTCAATTTGAAGTTAGGAGTTCTATTAATAGTAATAATACGAGTTGTATACATCATACATGCCCGTCCAAATCACATTGGAGTAGGTATATAAATGAGTTGAGCCACTCACGAGCCTAATGACTCGGCTCAACAAAAGGTCGAACTCGTGCCGTTTCTATTTGTTCACACTCGAGTTTGCAAAATTTTTGTTTTTTTGTTTGACTATATGCATAATATTAATAAGTACAACAAAAATATATTATAATATTAAAAATTAAGCACAAATTGCTCGTGATCTTTTCATTCCTATTTTTTTTGGTATATATATAATATTAAACAAAATATGATAATATATATATATGAAAATACAAATTTGAGCCCGACATCGAAGAAAATAGAACTCAATGAGCTCGAGCTCTCGGAATGAGCCAAGCTTGACCAGACTCGTGCTTAATACACCCCTACGTTGAAATGGCTAAAATGTTATTCCTGTACTTTGTTACTCTTTAAGTGTTGGCTTATATTTGGTTCATCAGGAAGTTATAAGCTGATGGTGTCAAGGGTGTTGAATAGGGTGTAAGGGTGTTGAATGAGTGTAAGGGTGTTGAATGATTCCACAGCTATCTATTTTTTTTTTCTGTATTTAAAGCTTTTGATGTCTCTATGTACATCTCTTATATGTTGTTCTTTTCAAAATTCAAGATGTTTCTTGAATCCTCATCTATTTTCGCCTGATTGGAATTTATTTGTGTGGATTAGGTAACTAGACAGGGGTTGACTTCTTTGGAGAAATCACGGGAGCATGCAATCCAAGTCAAAAAATGTCGACCAAGGAGAAGACAATGCTTACAATGTAGCAAATTCCACCGTATGTTCTGAACCATGGTGGAACAATACTGGAAATCCCCCCTTTGCCCCTGCAATGATGCGGGGAAGTGCATCAGAGTCATCTTCCATGGAACAATCTGGGGATGGCCAATCACAGTCTGAGGGTATAGTGGACGAGGAAGATGATGATACTGTCCAACACTCACCTAGTAGGGTACCTCCCCAGCCAGGTAGTGCTTTAGTATGCTAATCACCTTTACTCGATGAACCATCTTTAGTAGAATCTTAATCGAAGCAAACTCCAAGTTTGGAAGTAAAATCCTTGCAATCTTTAGTATCTACATTTTAACGATTTTACGTTGGGATCATAATTCGGCTAGAAGTCATTTTCTTGGGCCTAACTCAAAATTTTTTTCCTTCGAAACAACTGAATTCCAAGTAAAGAGCAACCATTTTCAGCACTCCACTGAACGTTGTCTTTGATTCAGGTAACACGACTAATTCTGAAATTTTTGGCAGGCTGAACTCTAGCACAAATAATGAACAACATAGGACGAAAAACTTATCCAATAATCAACAACCAACAAAAACACGTGTTTTATTTATGTTGGGAGTCTTGGGACATACTTTATTTGTGGTAGGAGCTGTTTTATATATGTTTTGACATAAAAAAATTGGCATGCTATATATATTTTACAAGATATGTAAAATCCTACGATTTCACAATCCAATTTTATGGTTACGATTATACAGACACCTTTCGATTTTATAAAATCCCGATTTTAACTATCTTGCTTGCATCTTATGTTCATCAAATTAGTATACTCTTGTCGTGACAAGCTGCGACATTTTGTGAAGTAGTGGCCTTTATTTTCCATATCCCATCTCTCTGGGAGGGTCTTAAAGAGATTTGAGGTATTCTACCATGTCTTGCGGAAGTTATTATTGGCTTTATCCTTTGTTTCATAGGATAATGTAGTTCTGGATTGATTATCTCATGACACCCCATAGCCATAAAAGTTCAATTTCTTCAATAAATACATCAATTTGGATATAGGCACACCCAAACTAGGTGGTCTTTTCTGATGTTCTTTCCGTTTGACCTACCAAATCATCTGCACTATAGGAGACTTTATATATGATATCTTGTAGAAAAAAGCGTGATTCCTCTTTCAGAATCGCACATGAATCTTTCCTTCATAGGATGAGGTAATGCCTTGTTTTGGTTATTGCATTCCTAAAGGCATCCCTACTAATGTTGACCCTGATCTATATGAGAACACCAGCAATATAGCTATGCTAACTTGTTTTCTGAGCACCGTTGTACTTCATGTCTTGCATAAGATTCACTTTTTCCCTTCCGTATTAAAGTTTGTTTTCATTGGGGAGAGATTAATGGAGTCCTTCCCTTCTGTATTAAAGTTAGTTTTCATTGGGGAGAGATTAATGGAGTCCATGTCAAGATTGGAAGTACTCATTTAATTCAAGTTTAGTCAGCCATAGATTATGTGAAGCATTGAGTTTCCTTCATATTTTTTGCTTTTATATTTTAATAGCAATAACATCCCTGTTAACTTCAGGTAGAGACCGTAAGGAGGACAATACGAATCTCCAGCAAGTTGAGCCTACCTTACATCCTAGACCTGATGGAAGCCTTACGCAGCCCATGCAACTTGAGCTTGTTGGCCACTCAATTGTAAGATACTTCAGTCTTACAACTTGAGCTTGTTGGCCGTGTTACAGTAGTAATATTTAAGTTAGTGGTTATAACATGGGAATATATTTTCTTCGTTCTGGTAAATCATTTTCAGGCATGTGCTTCAAATCCTTATGATCCATATTACGGAGGGATGATGGCAGCTTATGGCCAACCTATGGTACGTGCTTGAGTATGAAATTGTTACCCTGATGTTTGTTTTTTCCTTGTTAAATGACATAAATAGGAGGATTTGTGTGTAGTAAACTGTGACAAGGTATATTCGAATTGTTATCATTGACTCGATACCAATTTTCTGATGAAGGGCCATGGTACATGACCTTCAAAAGATACCATTGCATAATGGCTAGAATTAAGATATTCTGAGAGTCTTGCTTTCCATTAGCGATTACAAGGCTTCGGGGCTTTGTATCCTTGACCACATTTTTTTTTTAATTTGACAGATGAAGATCTACTGATTTCTTGTTTTTGTGTTTTTCAAAACAACTTCACGTTGGTCACAGTCGAGAGTTTTGTCATGTTTTTTTGGAGTTTGTGAAGATATTGAATCAGAATCGCTTCTTTTTCTATTGAAATTATTGCAGGATCTGTTTTCATATAATTCTCTAACCAAACATACTTTTTCTCCCAATGAATCAAGGTTCCTCATTTATATGATATGCATCACATGAGGATGCCACTGCCTCTGGAGATGGCACAAGAGCCTGTTTACGTTAACGCCAAACAATACCATGGTATCCTACGTAGGCGGCAGTCACGTGCTAAAGCTGAGCTTGAAAGGAAGCTAATCAAAGCTCGGAAGGTTCTTTTTTCTTTTTCTTAGAAACACCATATTTGTTGGGAAATTTCTTTTACCTTTTCGCCTCATAATAAAAAAAAAAAATTCTGTGTTACAGCCATATCTACACGAGTCTCGACACCAACATGCCATGAAGAGGGCAAGGGGTACCGGGGGTCGTTTTGCAAAGAAATCCGATGCTGATACTTCAAAGGGAACAGGTTCTGAATCAGCTGTATCTGATGCAGCAAAAGTGACCGAGGCTCAGAATATGTACAGTTCCAGTCATCAGTGGGGAAATATCCAGTCCAATCACGCACTTGCTATGCAGTGAAGTTCGATCTGGACTTTGTGTTGGTTACCTGTTTCGATCTTGGCTTTTTCCGAGCTGGGCGGCAATTCATTCTTGGCTGTGTTTCGATAGTTTGAGGAGGAGGAGGATCGTTTTCTCTTCTTTCGAGTACTACTGTTCTTCTCTTTTGTGTACAAAATTTCTATTTAGCACTAGAAATGGAGTGTGTAAAAACTAAAGTTTGAGTAGGAAAAATCCCCACTAGAACGTTTGTAAAGTCCCGTACTAAGAGTAGCATGTGTTCTTACTTGCCTGCATATTTGCTCCATGTTCAGATGTGAAGTTTCGAACTCCGGTCTTGATTATAATCGTTGTTTTGAAATGATGATTGTTATTTTATTTATAGAGCTGGGAATAACGTAGCTCGTACTGTTTTAGCAATTCGAAATGTGTCGTTTATTGTGGTTATCTGGTTGAAGTGAGTGGCTGTATTATTGGATAAAACTCATTAATGAAATATTGGTCTTTTGAAACTCCGTGAACAAATTATTTGCAAGGTCTTAGCAGGCACGTTGAAATATACAAGGCAACCAAAAGTTGTACGTTGGACTGAAATAAACAAACAATTGTATCTTTCTATTAAGAAAACAATGAAACCACGGCCGTTTCTTTTGCATTCGTAATAACAATATTGTACACTTATCATTACAAAGTTCTATACTCGTTTGCAGCTGATTAGTCACCTCACCTATAAAACATTATTTGGAGTAAAACGAAAAACACAAGAAAAAAAAAACATTAAAAAAAAAAAAATCAAAACCGTTAGTTTATAGTCATTACAGCTTCAATATCAGTGATCTTCTGCCTCGTAATGATAGTCAGGGTTGGTTCCTTCTTCTGTCTCGTTTAAGTCAGACATTGTTCCTCCCTCTGTATCTTCAGGGGGTTCCATTATACTTTCACTGCTAGCTTTGCTACTATCGGTCACATTATTCTCAGAATCGGTTAAGTTGACCCCACTTTGCTTCTCCATCATACCCGACAAGGCAAGCCTTGGAGACCACTCAAGAACATCATCGATTATGTTATACACTCGCTTTTGGTACCTGTGCAAAAAAAACAAAAATAAATTATTCCTCGATAATTATTCTGTATTCTTTCATTTGTCATTATTCAATTTCCTTTTATTTGTTTTTGAAGATGATTGCTGCAAAATTTGGCAAATTGACGTACCTAGCCCTGGCAGCTTCATCAGGAGCATGGTGTCTTAGTAGCAAAATGATGAGAGCAGCCACTAGAGCAAAAAATAATCGAGCTGTCCACTTGGGGCGTTCACACTCGTCTTTCTTGGGCAAAAATTGGAATAATTCCTTTAGTGTTGCTTCCTCTGCAAGAATGTTGGGGAAGAACCATACGCGCTTTCCAAGAACGATCCATAGAGTTCCAAATACGAGGGCTCTCACTGCACGACATCATCAAATCTCGTAAGCCCAAGAAAATAACGAACTAGCAAATTGTTTTAAAACACTAGGCAAAACATAGTTTATTCAACTATCAGTCTGTAATGGGAAAGCATAACTGAAACAATGTGAAGAGAACAGCTTCTTATAAGAAAATGCTCAGAAAAATCTATGCAATAGAAATACAAAAACCGAAAATAATGAAATAAGAACACTAGTTTTTGGGGTATCGAAGATATATAACTTATCTAGATTGAATTCTACACTGTATTGGGTGAAAAGGAAACTGTTATTAAACACTTTATGCATCGGCTGACAACTCAATGGCATGAATATCTGTACTAGCATATTAGAATAAGATAAGAACATTATTATTTCCTTCCATAAGAAAAGTTCGTCATACAACTGCCATTACCAAACTTCTAACATATTATTCACTCGGAATTCCCCAGTGAATAGTGACTACTCCCCACATAAATATAAATTCCCGTAATGTACTTCCAAATATATCACTGCGGTTACTTGATATATATTGCAATATTCCAATAAAAACGACCAGTTGGAAATCAACAATGATAGAATAACATCACATACTAATAAGGATAGTTCATCAAAAGGTTGATCTCTGCTGTCACTTTATATTACATATTAGGTAATGCAGAAAGTTAACATGGAGGATAAAAAGTCAAACCAAGAAATGAAGTATGATCAGCCAAAAAACTTACACAAAAGCACGCAAAGTATAACAAGCAGCAAACCGGCACAGAAGTAGAGTATAAGCAGCTTGACCTGGTGAGGATACACAGGAAACAAGCAGATTGCTAGCGTTAAAACAGGCCACACGAACGAGAGAAGCGTTTGCCATAAAGGCCGTCTGTTTACAAAGGTCCATGCAAAAAATGCATCATTATCGGAAAACAACTGATCCTGCAAAACAAAAATGATTGAGATAAGAAAACAAAATATCAATCCAGTAATAAAAACAACTATGATGCTACGCTATCAATAAAAAAGATGCCTTTGCACAAGTTACGAAAATTGTTTTTATAGTTCTACAAAAGTAAACGCCAAGATGACCATGCAGATTCATGCAAATTAATTCGATCTCGACAGTGAAGACAATGCAAGAGCATTTTCATCTCTTTAAAATCATATTTCAGAAAAATGACGACCTCAACTGAGAGCTTTGATGTATAATTAACAACTAGAAGTTCAAAAATAAAAATCCACGTACAGGTAAAGGTATTTTTCTACTTGACATATATGAATAAAGTGCTCGAATTAAACTTACAGAAAATATCTCCAAATGCGCCGGCCAAGTAGACAACTTTCTCTTCCCGGGACGAACAGTTTTGACAACACGGTCACATCGCACAATAAGATTCTTTCTCAACAGAGTATTGGCAATGTCTTCACTTTCTAAATTCTTATCCGATTCAAGTACATCTTTGAGTTCAGGATGATTTCTCAAAAATTTAACAAAATCCTTTCCTCTAAAATATTCGACTCTTGTCTCTTGTAAAATGCCCCACCTAGACTCCAGATCTTTGTGATCTCTTACTTTCTCAGCAAATATCTGAAAGATGTCCTTTTTCGCAGCTTGCTTCTGAAATTTAATTAAAGAGGAGACCGGATAATAAGATTACAGGATGATTAATCATTTAATTTGCTTATAAGTAACACCTTGTGACAATGCATTGAAACTGCTATTATTGCGATCGAAGGGTATTGTTCGTGAATGGGAGTGTGTGCTAAATGTTGCGCATCTGTTGTTAACATAACTAGCATTAAGAACAACGAACGTAAACAATAGCTCGCACAAATCAATAACGTGTCTGGATTATGATGAAGTGAATTGCAATACAAGACAACTTGAAAAGTAGTGCCAAAGTGAAACCGTAAATTATCTTAAATCCCATAATATGAAATGTTACTTACACTGAAAATAAAGTAACAAAAAGCCCGATCACCATTGAAATAAAGAGTGAATAAGCCAAGATGTGAGAAATTGGAATATGCGACACAAATAGATACCCTGAAACAACTGGAATGAATTTATTTTCAGCCCAGTCATCTAAATTTAATGCAAGTTTTGCTATCATTAAATAAATTTGCATCGGCTAATCTTTTCACAAACTCGAAAAACGAGTAACCTACACTTCATTCAGTACTTCATAAACATGAATTGACAGGAGATCAAGCATATTATTGATCAGACTATAATCCTGCAATTCGCAGACTGAAGAAACAAAATCCAAAAATTGTCGGTCAAGTCAAACACGTTTTAGATAATCATTTCCTATTGTTTTCAACTTTTCATCAAAATTGCAGCAAATTTTCTTTTCACAAATTTCTAAAACACCAATTTCCCAAATTCTTATAAAAAGGGGCAATTAACTTGGGGTTTTAACAGCGGAGTTCAGATCTTTCAGGGAAAATGTAAAAGCATCAGCAGAAACCGAATTAGGGAGAAGATGAATCAGATGAATAAATGGATGGAACATATAATCAAACTCGCAAATGCTTTATCTGTAAATTGAATTGGTGAAAATTAACTAACCTTAGGAGGATTGTCGGTGGCCGAGTCTCCGTACGAACGCTTACCCCTCTTTTTATCGCCGGTGGCTCCACCGCTTCCGCCTCCGCCTCCGCCGCTGCTTATTCTCTTCATATCTGAATACGCTCTCTCTCTCTTCTCTTCTTTTCTTACAGTGATTAATTCATTTTACATAATTCAATTATTATTTCGTAATTAATAAATGAAAATAAATTAAATTTAATATTAAACATGTTCGTAAACCCGTAGAAAATGGGCTTTTTCAACTTTAAGCCCAGCCCAATCATCTAATCTACAAGAACAACGTATCAACATTTATATTTAATTCCACTTTGCACCCTTGAAATATAGTATATTGACACTTTGCATATTTGAAAAAAGAGTAATACCATTTTGCACCTTCAAGACACAATAAATCATTCACAATGCACCAATCATTGAATATTTAAAACTTGACTAGTGTAATTTCATTTTTTTTTATTAATTTTTTCTTTTTAATTTCATATTTTCGAGCTTACAAAATGCGACAAAAAACATAACAAATTACTGAATTATTTGATTGATGGACCTTTTATTATAATAAATGAAGGTATTTGGTAGAAATATTTGGAAGAAAAATATAATTTTCAAATAACTTGATAACGAAATAGCTGAAGGATTTTTCATTCTTTGTTTCTTGTAAAACATGTTTTTGTGAATTTTTTTAATACGTTAATGAAATGTATTTTTGTTTTTGCACTTTGTAGTGTCAATAGGATTGAGAAATTTTAGAAAAATGATTTGACATTTGGCACCCTTAAAAAATACAACTAAAAATATTAAATTATCTTAATTGACGTTAAAAATTTATTCAGGGTGCATTATACATAATTTATTTTATTTTGAAGCTATTAATTTTTTTAAAGGGGTGCAAAGTGACAAAAAGAAAAACTATATTTCAAGGGTGCAAAAAGAGAAATAAAGGAAATAGAATTGAAAACAGATAAAATGCAGCAATAATTAATTAATTTGTTGGGCATAGCTTCTCCCTTCTCAAATGCTTCATCTTCGGCACTGTACTTGTCTTTCTCTGAACACTCACTCATCCCTAAAGAAGAAAAAATCGATATTTTTATCTGGGTTCGGAGTTTGGGGAGATAATGAATTGTTGGGATTCAAGAATAGGAGAAGAAACGGGCCGCTGAATGGCGTGGAGAAAGATTCGGGCTTTGAGGTGGACCCGGATAAGGCCCGAGAAGCTTTGAGACAGCTTGATGAGCAGCTTCAATCTTTCTCCAAGAGAAAAGTCAGCCCCCCAAAGAATATTAGAGGTGAACTACTCATAATATCTGTGTAATAACACACACACACACACACACAAAAGCAGCACACTTTACTTTACTAAGATAGATTATTATGGGATAAAAAAGAAGAGATTATGGGATTATTCAAAAGAAGTTCTTGATAAGATTATGAGATTATTCAAAATATTTATGCCACTCTTCTGAACTGGATAGATTGATAGATTTATAATTATGTGTACTTATGGTGGAGGAAAACTCTATTATGTTAGCCAGGCCACTACTAAGAAAACAAGGATTGTCTACTCCTTATTTTGTGGTTTGATTCGGGAACCGCTGAGGTATGGTCGAATTACGAAAAACCCCCTTATGTTTGGGTAATTACAACCACCCCTTAACTATGGTGTCAAATTTTCTTACTGGGGGAATGGTTTTTTCGTAAGACAGTAAATAGTTGAGGGGAGTGTTTGTAATTACCCAAATAAGAAGGAGTTTTTTCGTGATTTGACTTTATCGGGGTGGCTGTATGTAATTTACCCTTTGATTTACTATCATTTGTCTTTCATGTCCACTCCTATGATGTCAAATTTACCTACTGAACGAAGGGTTTTTTCGTAAGACGATACATAGTTGAATAGGGTGTTTGTAATTACTCAAACATACATAGTTGAATAGGGTGTTTGTAATTACTCAAACATGAGGGTTTTTTTTTTCCTTCGTAATTTGACTTTACTTCAGGAGGGTGACCGTAATTTGCCCTTTGATTTACTATCATTTAGGACAAAGTTTTGAGTTTCCGAAAATGTTATAGTTGGTGGAGCTAAGATCTTAATTTAGGGGTTTTGAGGAGAAATTTGAACTTTACACGATCAAATTCATATTTTTACATAATATGAGGAGGAGGGGGACAAATATTGTAAATATTTTTGTTAGGGTAAATCACGAAACCCCTCTAAACTCAAGTTAAATTACAAAAAACACCCCACCTATTCGTAATTATTAAAATCCCCTCAACGTTTGTTTCCGTTTTACACCGACTCGCTTACGGTGTAATTTTTCACGGAATCTTTTTAATTTGAGTTAATATTTCCTGAAAAATGTCAATTCTACCCTGCAAACGTGACATTTCTTTATGTCATAATCAGATGTACTAAAAAGTTGTGAAGATGTTATTTAAGAAGTAAAGATTCCATGTAAAGCCCTTTAGGGTAATTTTTGTCTTTAAAAAGTAGCATAAAGAAATGTCACGTCTAGGGGTAAAATGAACATTTTTCGGGAAATAGTACTTGGAATGAAAAAGATTCCATGAAAATCACGCCGTAAGGTGGTCAGTGTACGATGGAAACAAACGCCGGGGGAATTTTGGTAATTATTGATAGGTGGTGTGTTTTTTTGTAATTTAGCCTAAGTTCAGTGAGGGTTTCGTAATTTACCTTTTTTTTGATATTGTGTTGAATTAAGGGACTTATATGTATGTTGGGTGTGTCACGTACCAATTGAGTTACTCTGCTCGGCTCTATGCTCTTGCATAATAGAAAAAGACCTCTTCAACTAATATGATCAAATTTTCGCGATTGAATTACTCTCGGAATCAACAAAAACGCAACGGATGTTGGTGTTTGATCTAATGCTATGATTTTGCTCCACGTAAAAAAATCTATACGAGACATTTGAGATCGATCAACGCTTTAAAACACTACAACAAATAGGCTTCTTGTTATGTATTTTTATAACTTTTTTTTCTAATGGGGTGCATTTTCTTGACACTATCACAGCTATGGACTATAATGAACCAATTATCAGGGAAAGAGAAGAAGAGATATCGGGCTTCACAGGGTCGTTTTTGGTATTTGCAGCTTCAGGTCTGCTAGTTTTCACCATTTTGTATAATATTATATTCTTTACAGTTATAAAGCCATCCGTAGATGGACCGGAGACTGTTGAATCTGCAAGTACGATTATGGAAGCTGAAAAGGGGGCATCGATAAAACGATTGTCTAAAAGTGCAGAGTTCTCAATTAGGCGGTGAAAACTTGTATGTATATATATATGCATCTGTATATGCGCAAAACTCGACTTTTATATCTTACTACTGATTTATTTGCTACGTTATGGAATATCAATTCTCTCGTCGCCATTTTGAAATGAGAGGTCGAATATTGGTTAGTTGTCTCTTTTCATGGACGCAAACACACACACACACACACATATACACACACACACGGTTATTTCTATATATGCTACATCTAGGTGGATTTTTACCTTTACTCTACACACCAATATGTGTGTATATGTTTGTGTAGGTCATTGAGATTCTAAACTGGGTGATTTTTAACTATTTATGTAATTAAATAACCACCCACTAAGCACACTTACACATGGGTGTGTGTCTAATTATGTAGCATAGAAATAACCGAATTTAAGATTGGTTGGTTTTTATTTCCTAAATCAAGTATTTTTACTATTTGTATTACTCTTTTGAAAATAAAATCAAAATTCGAGGTGTCGATTTGTAAGCTTATGAACAACTGAAAAGCGGACTTGATTTCGAGTTTGTCCGAATGAGTTCGAACTCGAATTCGAGTTTTTGTTGAATTAGGGATATATAATGGTTAGTTCATTTACACCTCAACTATTACAACTAACTATAACATGGGTCCAAATATACTTGTAAATTGTAGCATTCATGGAATCACTTGCAATTTGGAGAAACTAATTACATCATTAATTACATTATCAGCAAAATTGGATATATTTAGACAAAAATAATAAAGGTGGTCTTAAAAGTAAGAAATTTGAGTAAAGTACAAGGAATGCTTGGTTAAAATCTTGAAATATCTTGTCACTTTATTATTTTAGTTTGAAATCAATGTATCAAATTGGTAGCCATGAATTGATTGATTGGTTACATCAGTTAGTTGAATTGCATTGTTGAAAAAAATGCTTTTATGGCACCACATGCTAGTAATAGTTATATGGACCATTTTGTCAATGACATTTCACATATGTCATTTTCCCATTTTATATATAAAAAGAAGATTGTATCAAAGTACTTCCACAATCATTTCCATAACTAAATCAACATGTTACAATAATGTTCTTTCACAATTACAAGAAAATTAATAGAAATTGCCCTAGCATAAGTCTAGTAAGTTTATGTATACGAATTGCTAGTTGATAGAGTAAAAACAGCGTGTTGGTTTACGGGCTATTATACGAAAACGAGATGTAACGAGACTTCAATGATTGAGCTTAATAAGAATGGGACTGATCCAAATTTATTGGAATTATTTTATAAGATGATATATTGAAATGCTGTTTATGAAGTAAAAATTGATAGGTCACAAAATAATTTCAATATTTGTTAAGTTTGATCGGTCCCCTTCTTTTTAAGAAATTATATTTATATAGTGAAAATTGATAGGTAACAAACAAACTAATTTCAATATATATTCATTTTTCATATTTCAAAACATTACTTTCAAATCCCCTTCTACTATATCAAGCCCCTATCATAAATCAGTCTAGGGTAGATTTTGATTTTGTTTTTCAAATTCACCATGCCCTAAAATTGCATTGTTTAATTTATCATGCATGCATTTATGAAGTACTATTCCTTACAAAGTTATGAAATAGAAATTACTTTTATTTTTTGAAATATATATTAATGATATCAAACATCAATTCCAAACTCCCACAAGATGTGAAATTAGATCCATTTTATGTACTAGACCTAAAAACAATTAGTAAATTGATTCGAAATCACGTCAAATGACACCGCAATTTCTTGCTACACCAATTTCCTCTTGCGGGACTATGATACATAGTTTTTTCGAGGGTAAATTACGGCCACCCCTGAGTTATGCTCAAATTACGAAAACCATCTCATGTTTGGGTAATTACAACTACCCCTTAACTATGTATTATATTACAGAAATACCCCTTCTGAGGTAAATTTAGGGATGTTAAATCGGTAAAACCGAACCGAAATTTCGGTACGCCAACATTTCATACCGTTCACCGAACTGAATATACGATTTGGTTCGGTAAATAACCGAATTACCTAAAATTTATGTAAAAATATTTAAAATGAGGGGTGACTGTAATTACCCAAACAATATGGTTTTTTTTCGTAACTTGGTCATACCTCAGGGATGGCCGTAATTTGCCCGTTTTTTTCGATAACATTTATGTTTGTATGAAAAAAAATAAAAAATATAAAGTTTATTTCTTAAAAAAAAGTTTGGAATTGGAAAATCAAAAAATAAAGGTTGAGCCAAAAATTAGTAAAGAGAGAGAGAGAGGGGGGCAAACATACAAAAAAGAGAGACAAATGGACAGATCAAAAGAGTTTATTATGTCTTATCCCATGAAGTCCAAAACAACAACCAACAAATGGGGACACAAAAAGCCAAAGAAAAATTAATTTCAAGAAAAGATAAAAGGAAACCTAGAGAGAGAGAGAAGAGAGAGAGAGAGAGGGTGTGGGGGAACGCAGGAGAGAGAAAAGTCTCTGCAAAAGAGCTTTTTTTGAGACTCTCTCTCTCTCTTCCCATGGCGGATTCAAACATTCATGAATCATTCCGCCTTTCACATCCCATATTCATCTCTTTCTTGATTCAACTGGGTCGCAATTGACTGCATTTCCCATCATCAATCCTAAATATTCCAAGAACAAATATTATAATAAATCAAGGTGGGTTCTTTTTGTTTATTGCTTTTTATTTTTGTTTATTTATTTTTTCTGGGCATTGCATAGAATTTCTAGGGTAAGATTGATTTGATGTGGGATCTTCTTCGAATCTGACAACAATGTATTAAATTTATTATCCACGTTGAATGCGATTTATTTTCTTGACTTATTAGGCTTACAAAGAATCAATTTTTATTTATTTTATTTACCGACGCCTATTTTCTTGATTCGATTTAATTGGTTGTTCAGTAAGACCATATAATCATGGGAAATTGCTGTGTGACCCCTTCTTCCGACAAGAAGAACAAGAACAAGAACAAGAAGAACAAGCCGAACCCATTTTCGATCGATTTCGATGTGAATCACGGATCCGGGGGTTCGAAGAAGCTCGTGGTGTTGAAAGATCCGACGGGCCACGATCTTATCGACAAATTCGATATCGGATGCGAGCTCGGAAGGGGCGAATTCGGGGTGACGTATTTGTCCACCGATGTGGAGACCCGCGAGAAGTTCGCGTGCAAGTCGATATCGAAGAAGAAGCTTAGAACTGCGGTGGATATCGAGGATGTGAGGAGGGAAGTCGAGATAATGAAGCATATGCCGAAGCATCCGAATATTGTTAGCTTGAAGGACACTTACGAAGATGATAGTGCAGTTCATATCGTAATGGAATTGTGCGAAGGCGGTGAATTGTTCGATCGGATTGTGGCGAGGGGGCATTATACCGAGAGAGCTGCGGCTTTTATCATGAAGACTATTGTCGAAGTTGTTCAGGTCTATTCAATTTTTTTCTTTCGAAAAAAATAAATAAAAATTGAAAATTCGTGTTGCATCGATTGAATTGTTTTTTTTTTTTTTTTGTTGATGTTTTTATTACGTTGTTATTATTACAGATGTGCCATCGGAACGGAGTGATGCATCGTGATCTAAAACCGGAGAATTTTCTTTTCGCGAATAAGAAAGAAACGTCTCCCCTTAAAGCAATCGATTTTGGGCTGTCGGTTTTCTTCAAACCTGGTACTCAAATATCATCAAGTTGATGCCTTTTTCAATCTGGGAGGTTCCGTTTTTTTTTTTTATAAAATTATTGTTATAATTTTAGGTGAGAGGTTTAACGAGATTGTCGGGAGTCCTTATTACATGGCTCCTGAGGTACTTAAACGTAATTACGGACCGGAGATTGACGTGTGGAGTGCTGGAGTCATCCTTTATATTCTGCTTTGTGGTGTTCCTCCTTTCTGGGCAGGTTCGTTTTTTGCATTCGATTTCGGTGTAAAAATTGGATGATTTCATAAATCTTTGATGTTAGTTTTAAGTATAAAATCGCTATGCTTTGGAAGAACAGATCATTTTACAATATTATTATACAAAATATTCAGATATAGATTTACTTAAAGCATGCCATTAAAAAAAAAAATCGAATTCCGATTACCCCTTTCTTAAAAATCCCACCTTTACAAATAAGGGTGTCGTATAATTTTTTGAATTGTACCAATTTGTAGAAGTGAAGGGTAAATAAAGGTCATTTATATGGTAAAATTGTCAAAATGAGTTGTTGGTTAAGACAATACATACGATTCTAAAATAGAGTCGTACATAGCGTCACTTGCATGTAAACAGTGTAATTGATTGTGCAGAAACGGAGCAAGGTGTGGCTCAAGCAATTATTCGATCTGCAATCGACTTTAAGAGAGATCCTTGGCCTAAAGTTTCCGATAATGCAAAAGATCTTGTCAAGAAAATGCTCGATCCAGATCCGACTCGGCGCCTTACAGCTCAGCAAGTCCTCGGTAAAAAAGCTTAGCACTTTCTTATTTGCATTATTACCGAATTACCGAGCCAGAGATGGAATCTAACAGTACAAATTCGTGACTCCTTATTTTTTTTTAAAATTAAATACAGAGCATCCTTGGTTATTAAATGCGAAGAAGGCATCAAACGTGTCGCTGGGTGAGACAGTGAAAGCGAGGCTAAAACAATTTTCTGTGATGAATAAGCTCAAGAAAAGGGCATTACGGGTATTTCACCGGTCTTACATTCTTAATCGTAATTAGACGACAAAATCCCATGATTTTTTTTTTAATAATAATATTTTACGCAGGTGGTGGCTGAGCACTTGTCTGTGGAGGAAGTGGCCGGAATTAAGGAAGCATTCGACACAATGGACACTGGCAAAAGGGGCAAACTCAACCTCGAAGAATTCAAAATTGGTCTGCACAAACTCGGCCATCAAATACCCGAGCCGGACGTTCAGATTCTAATGGAAGCTGTAAGAACTATATTCCGTGGGGCCCGTGATTTTAAACTACTATTTAATTGTTTTTTATATAAATATGTTTTTTTTTTCCGGTTTTCTAGGCGGATGTTGATGGAGATGGAGCGTTGAATTACGGTGAATTTGTTGCCGTCTCTGTGCATCTAAGAAAAATGGCGAACGACGAGCACCTTCACAAAGCCTTTGCATTTTTCGACAGAAACGAGAGTGGGTATATTGAAATCGACGAGCTTAGAGATGCTTTGAGCGACGAAGACGATGCCAATAGTGAGGAGGTTATTATTGCTATAATGCACGACGTCGATACGGATAAGGTCCGTTATTTTCTTTAAATTTTGCTTAATTAATCGATTTAAAAAAAAAATACTAATATGTTTCGGTTTGGTTGATGTTTAGGATGGGCGAATAAGTTACGAGGAATTTGCATCGATGATGAAGGCGGGTACAGATTGGAGAAAAGCGTCGAGGCAATATTCGCGGGAGAGATTCAACAGTCTTAGCTTGAAGTTAATGAAAGAAGGCTCTCTACATTTAGCTAACGAGGGTAGATAATATTTATTTAAAAAGACATAATTGTTTTTAAGAGAAGGAAAAAAAAAAAAGGTGCTTGAAAAGGGATATTCCCTAATCTTATTCTCCCTCGTGTTTTTTGGATTTTTATTAGTGAAATGTTTTTAACTGTGGAAATGTTGCTGAGGCTGATTTCATGGTGTAGAGGTTCATTCTATATCTCTAGCCAATTTTCTTTTTTTTTTTTTTTTTTTTTAAGAAATATAATTCGAGATAATTAAGAAAGAGAAATATAACATCTAAGACCCCGCACATGGTTCTTAAATTGTAAATCGAATTGCAAATCAATTTGCCAAAAATTCAAATCGTAATCGAACTGATCATAAGATTTGTAATCATTTCAAAAATAATATAGATAACAAAGAGATTCAGACAAAAAAGTTCTTTACTAATAAGTCCACACATGGTCTAGATAATAACCACGTATAAATATTTTAAAGAAATTATATAGTGTAATTTCATCCTTAACTTAATTTAACCTCAATTTGACCCCAAATTTCACATATTATTCAATTTTGACCCAAAATATTTTTTTTTTCAAAAAAAAAAAAAAAAAAATCTTCCGTATTTTTTCGATTTGTTTTTCGTTTAAACATCAATATTGATGTGATTGACAGTAATATTAACTATATTATTGTTAAACACGGTAAAATTAACTAAACTACATCTTTACACAGTAATATTGCTACATTAATCTCTAGCAAAGTAATATTAACACAAAAAAACTCATTATTATTGTGTAATAGAGTAATATTACTATGTTGACTGTTCAACAAATGTAAACATAATAAAAATCCAAAAGAATGAATATTACTGTGAGTGACAGTTATATATTACTATAACAACAGTAATATTACCGTCAACCACAGTAATATTACAATAATAGACAATAATATTATTACGTTGCTCCGTGAATAACTCAAACAAACAAAAAAATCCCAAACAAAATAATAATATTGATGTGGTTGACAGCAATATTACTCTAACAACAGTAATATTATCGTCAACCACAGTAATATTATAGTGTTTACAGTAATATTACAATAATATACAGTAATATTATTACGTTACTCAGTAAATAACTTAAACAAAACAAAAAACCCAAAAAATAATAATATTGATGTTGTTGACAGTAATATTATTGTGTTTACAGTTATTTTACTGTCAACGACAGTAATATAATTACGTTGACTTGTCAACAAATCAAACAAAATAAAATAAATAACAAAAAATAAAAAATAATAATCTTACCTTAATTTACTGTCAACGGCAGAACAATTACATAAATGTATTGCATTGTCAACGGTAGTACAATTACATTAATTAACTGTCATTGACAATATAATTACGTTAATTTACTGTCAGTGACAGCACAATTACGGTTAACGTTTAGCGGCGGACGTAAGAAAATAATAATAAAAAAAAAAAAAAAAAAAACTTAAAAAAACACTAAAAAAAAGTCAACGCCAGATACCGGCGAAAAAATCTGGAAGAAAAAAAAAAAGAAAAAGTCAACCCCGGAGACCGGTGTTGACCGTCGATCAACGCCGGAAATTGGCGAAAAAATCCGGAAAAAATAAAATAAAATAAATCAAAAAGTCAACGCCGGAATCCGGCGGCAAATTTTTTTTTTTTTTTAAAAAATAAAGGTTTTGAAAAAAAAAAGTCAAAATTGGATTTTTGTGATCAAAATTGGATTTTTGTGGACAAAATTGATTAAATTATGGTTACGATTAAGAATTGGGTATAAAGAGTTTTGGCTAATATTGGCATATACATGAATGTTTCCTTTATTTATAATAAATATTGAAGGGATGGGCTTATCGGTGAAAGACATATAACAAATTTTGAAAAATATAAAGATATTTTTGAATAAATATAAAGAAACATATAATACAAATTCCCTTATGTCTATTAAAATGAGCAAACTGCAAAAAGTACGCGTGTGTAATATCTAAATAGCAAAAATCCCCGTGTGATAAATAATTTAGCAAAAACCCCCCTGTGAAATTTAGTTAAAGGCAAAAACCCCCCAGTTGACTTACGTGTTGCTCGCGAGACTCGCGAGTTGCGCAATTGGTAGTTAATTTTTGAACGTGAAATGACCAAATTGACCCTAAAAATGTATTTATATGTATATATATTTTCTTTTTAATTTGATTGTTTAGAAATTAAAATATTGTTAAAAAAAAAGCAAATAATTAAATTGCAAAATCATTAAAAATTTGTTAATCAAATTAAGTGTATATTTTTTTAAAGGGCAAATTACCAAAACCCCCTGAGGTAAGTCTGAATAACGAAAATCCCCCCCATGTTCGCGTAATTACGAAAATCCCCTTGAGGTATGCAGACATCTTACAAATCGCTCTAACGGTGTTAAACTTGACAGAATCTTTTTGATTCTCCCGAATATTCCTCTGTTATTACCAATTTTGCCCTTGTACACGTGGAACGTTCTGATAGTTCTATTTACAGACGAAATTACCCTTAGGGGGGTAATTGTAAGCATTTTATTTTATGAGGGGTCATATTGTTACATAGTTTGTACTTACTGAAATATATCCGTTGCATTAATATCTGAGGGGGTTAATTGTAAGTTTTGAGTAATTTGTTGAATATGACCGTTTTTTGCATCCCTATAAATAAGGTGGAATTTTCTCTTCTCTTTCACCTCTCTCTCCACCACTCTCTATTGCTTCCATGGATTCTTCTAGCACATCCTCTCAAATCAGTGGGTTAAAATATAAAAAGGAGAAATGCAAGAGTTGTGGAAAGAAAACAACAATTATGATATCGGAGACGAGAAGAAATCCGGGAAGGCTCTTTTATTGTTGCCCCGAACACGGCTTCTCACATTGGTGTGAGCCATTTGAAGTTGGTTATAGTTGCTCACATGGTGATACAATAGCTACTCGAAAGCATGATGACAGTGAGGTGACAAGTGCATCGACAAATCAAGTTCAATCGAAGAACAATGGCAAGATTGAAGATGGATTAGTTCGTAGTTTGGTAGTGCTAAACCTAGCAATCCTAGCATTATACATGATATGTAAAATAACTGTACTACTATTTCTGCAATAAAATATTGTACCTTTATGATATATCAAACATAAACTAGTATTTCAAATCAGCCCATAAGCACCATATGTTTAGTGAATAATTACATATCAAATCAGCCAAAAAATAGCCTGTAAAAAAGACCATCAAAAACAGGCTACAAAAAACATGTTTAGTGAATAATTACATATCAAATCAGCCCAAAAAATAGCCTGTAAAAAAGACCACCAAAAACAGGCTACGAAAAAACACAAAAAACAGTCCATGATGTTCTATGAAACATCCCAAAAACAGGCTACAAAACATCAAAAAAAACAGTCTATGATGTTCTACCTCTTGATGAAAGCCATAAATTTGTCAAAGTCAGTGGGATACCATTTTCCTGCCAGAATGTTGTCAATATTATCAGCTGCTGCACTTGAAGATGGTGCTTTTGCACTTGAAGGTGGTGCTTTTGCACTTGAAGATGGTGCTGCAACATTGCCTTTTGAGAGCACCTTAGCTGCTGCACTTGAAGATGGTGCTGTTGCACTTGAAGATGGTGCTTTTGCACTTGAAGATGGTGCTGCAACATTGCCTTTTGAGACCACCTTAGCTGCTGCACTTGTCTTTTTTCTCTTCTTAGGTGCTTGAGCATAGGATTGAGCAGTCACTGGGACATCATCATCAAATGCATGAGCATAGGCTTGAGCAGTCATTTGGGCATCAACATCAAATGCATGATGAGCAGAGGCTTGAGCAGAAATCTGTAATAAAGTAAAAAAAGGTAAATATTAAAAAATTAAACAGAATACAGAACACCAAATACATAATAAGAAAGTTAAAAAAACAGAATACCTGGGACTTGGAAGTAGCATTTGCTCTTTTTCTTCTAGTCAACACTGATGCTTCACCTTGTCTTTCTGGATTGCTAGAGGCTTGAAATTGTGTATTTTCCTACAATATATATGTATTTGCTTAGAAACATATAAACAAATTGTAAGAACACATGAAGTAAAAATAATAAACTGTACAACATACCCCATTAGCTGTGGTTGTGGCACCTCTCCTAGACTGAGTTGGTCCTTTGCAAGTTCTAATGTTATGCCCCCAACCTTTGCATCTCTTGCATCTAACCACAGTTGATATTTTCTGTGATTGGCCTTCTCCAGCCTCTTTTCTTCTATTTTTTTTAGGTCTCCCAGGCAACCTCCTATAAGTAGGAGGTTGCAGATCCTTTGGAGTGGCATCTAGGTGTTCTGGCCAGAAATCAGGGTGGTTAACAGGATTGATAAAATGACTATAAACTGTCATGTAAATTTCCCTGGAAAAACACTTATCTGTATAATCCTCAAGCCTCTGCATGTTGTGTTTGATTGCAACTATGGCATGTTTACAAGGCAGTCCAGACAAATCCCACTCTTCACAGTCACATCTCTTGTTTGATAAATTCACAACAAAATGATTTCTTTTGTCTTTAATTTCAAACTGATCATTTCCAGCAACTACAATCTCACACTTCCTAGACTCTTCAACTGCAATATTTAACCTCTCAACTACAGTTGGCATTAACTCATGTGTGGACTTCTGCCCTTTTGCAGCCCTATTTGTAAGCCTTTTCATTAGTTTACACCTAAGACCATCTAACAAACTCAAGAAAGGCATAGGTCTAAATTCTTCAATCCAATTATTAAAAGACTCTGAAATGTTATTAGTAACATGGTCATTTTTAAGCCTTTTATCAAAGGCATACCTTGACCACTGCTCAGATGGAATAGCTAGCAACCACTTATATGCATTAACATTCAACTCTTTCATTTTATACATTGCAAAGTTAAAACCAGAGGGAGTATATGACCTGGCAGCTGACCAAAACCATTTCTTTAGTGCACCTCCAGCAAAATGAGTTCTGAAATTGGCACAAATGTGCCTAGCACACCTTCTGTTCATTACATTGGGGGCCATCTCTGAAATTGTCTCCACCAGTCCCTGACATAAAGAAAAAAAATGCATTATGAAATTATTTTGATCAAAAAACATAATTATAACAAAGACATTATGAAAGTCCTCAAATGACTTTACCTTCTGCCTATCAGTCATAAATGTCCATGGCTTTCCATCAGAAAATCCTCCCAACATGATTGTGAGATTATGAAAGAAGAAACTCCAACTGTCCCTATTCTCTGTCTCAACAATAGCAAATGCTATTGGATATAGGCCATTGTTGCCATCCAGTGCTATTGCTGAAAGCAACACACCACCATATGGCCCTTTAAGATGGCATCCATCAAAGCCAATAAATGGATTACACCCACTTAAAAATCCATCTCTCAGTGCAGCAAGTCCCATGAAAAACCTCTTGAATGTAGGTGGCTTTTGTGGTACTCCTAACCCATTTTCATCTTCAACATCTTCAACATCACATTGTAGTGTAACTACACTGCCTGGGTTGGTAGCAAGAACCATAGCACCATAATATGGTAGTTTTTCAAACAATTTTGCATGGTTTCCTTGTATCTGATCAAGTGCAATGCTTTTAGCCCTGTAAAACTGCATGTATTGTGGTTTGACCCCATATTTTGTCACCTCATGCCTCATTGCCTTCAGGTTTGCATCAGGGTCTGATCTTAAGAGATCCATCAGCTTTGAGGCTAACCACTTGGCACTGACCTCATTATCAACAGCTCCTCTGGTACATGTGTGCTCACATGGACAAACCTTAATCATATATGTTACATTATCAGGTAAGGTGGAGGCATGAAGTCTCCAAGCACAATTTTCACCCCCACAATGTACTCTAACCCTCTGCTTTTCATTCTTATCTCTCACACAGTGAAAGCCTTCTTGAATGGTGTAATCTTTCAACACTTGTCTAAATTGATACACATCAGTAAACACCTGACCTTTCTTTAACTTGATCTTTTCCCCAGGTTCAGGAGTGAATATTGTATCCCCAAAATCCATGCCTCCTTGTAATGGATCATTATCCAGCTCCTCATCAGACCAATTTGTATGCTCGCAATGATTATCTGACTCATATCCACTCAGTGCATCATCATCATCATTAGCTTCATCACTTGGCACTTCACTTCTGTTGTCATCTTCATCAATGTTGGCTTGGAAATCAGAATCAGAGTCTTCTTCAACTCTCTGATCTTTATCCTCAACTAACACATGGAAGCAATTATCCACACATAAGGCAAACATTGTTTTTACATCGAAGCTACAGTCCATGCTCAACCCTTGAAACCCTTCAATATCCTCATTAATATATGTCATCTTTAACCCTTCAATACCCCCATTAATACTAGGAAATGATCTCCTAATGGCTAGACATAAGTCCTCATAACTATACTTGTCAGGATCAATATTATCAAATTTAACTTCACTTGATCTGTAGTGTAGAATAACAGAGCATAAATCTACCATCTTCAGTTCAAATACAAACACAAAAAACATATCAGATTCAAATACAAACATAATCCCCAAAATCATAAATTAATTCTTTGGAATCAGAAATTATAAACCAAAAATAAAAAAATAAGACCAAAAAATAAAAAATTAGAAATCCCAATCAGAATACCACCCTAATTTCCCTAACTTCTGTAATTTATTATTCCCCTCACGAGAAGCAAAATACCCAAATTTCCCTAATTCCCCTTCACCAAACTAATCAGAATACCCTAATTTCCCCTTCACGAATCCAAAGGTCAGAAAGTAGAAACAAGAAAAAGAAGAAATTTGAAACCAAAAATCAAAAACCCTAATTTTTTACCGAAATTTAAAACCCTAAAAAACTTGAACAAAATATAGTACCTTTTGAAACTCGAAAAAATAGAAAACAAAGAACCCAAAGATCAGAAAGTAGAAACAAGAAAAAGAAGAAATTTGAAACCAAAAATCAAAAACCCTAATTTTTTACCGAAATTTAAAACCCTAAAAAACTTGAACAAAATATCCATACAAACCTTTGATTCTGGACGTAAACTTCGCGATTCGAGCAATGATAGGTGATGATAACAATTTCTTTGGTTCAGCCCTAATCTTCTCTAATCTCCAAGTGAAGAGGGGAGTCGTGACAGATGAAAAAGTGAAAAATAAATGTGAAAAATAAAAGTGAAAAATAAAAGTGAAAAGATCAGATATTGAAAACGTTGTATTGTTAGGAACAAAAAGAAACGTGTTTTAACAATGTTAGCACGATTTAACAGAGGGTACAATAGACTATACACATTTTCAGCTTTTTTCTTTTATTTTTCACATATTTAACAGAAGGATATAATAGACATTTCACGTTTTCGGTTAAAAAAACTCGGTCAACCGTTAGTCAAGGGGGATTTTCGTAATTACGGGAACATGGGGGGGATTTTCGTTATTCAGACTTACCTCAGGGGGGTTTTGGTAATTTGCCCTTTTTTAAAATACAAAATAATGAAATTTCAGTTTTCTTTTGATGTATGGATAATTTAAAATAATAAGATTTGAAATAAATGAGTCCAGGTACTCACAAACTCTTTTATGATTATCCAATAAGAATTTCAAATAAACTAAAAGTAGTGTCCATAAGTATATATTACAAACCTATAAAGAAGTAGTGCGCTGATGTAAACATTTCGATTTTTTTATCAAACAAAAGTGCACAAAACGGCGCCGTTTTGGGTGAAAATGTCCAACGCAAAGCGTCAATGCATTTTAACCTTGAAAGAATTTATGGTCCCGAATTCGTATTATACAGAGATGTTATCTGAAATGTTGTAACACTTGAGACAACATGCAGCGGAAATATAAAGATTAAAAGACAGTGCTCAGAATTAAAAATGTTCACAAGTAAAGACTTGTGAACTTGCCCTTTATAGGACGGAAAAATATATTAAAATCAGTATTCCAAGAATACAAACAGAAGAGGTGCGAAAACTTCTTCCTTATGAATGAATCTTTTTCAAGATCATTCTTACAATCAAATCTAGATACTAAAAGAAAAAGGGCAAATTACCAAAACCCCCCTGAGGTAAGCCTAAATAACGAAAATCCCCCCCATGTTCTCATAATTACGAAAACCCCCCTGAGGTATGCAGACGTCTTACAAATCGCTCTAACGGTGTTAGACTCGATAGAATCTTTTTGATTCTCCCGAATATTCCTCCGATAATACCAATTTTGCCCTTGTACACGAAATTACCCTTAGGGGGGTAATTGTAAGCATTTTATTTAATGAGGGGTCATTATGAATGTACAAAATACTTACTTTTCTTAAATTAAACCCAAATATAATCAATCATTATGAATGTACAATGTATTTTTATTGGATTAAAAAAAATCAATGAATGAGATTTCAAAATTTAATTATTTTTTATATATAAAATTAAATATTTTAAAATTCGAGAAATACAACCATGCATCATTCAGGCTAAAAGCATAAATCCGTATGAATACTCCTCTGGATAAATAAAATCAATTAAAATATATAAATAAAAAAATATATAAGTGTCTGCAAAATACTTATTTTTCTTAAATTAAACCCAAATATAATCAATCATTATGAATGTACAATGTATTTTTATTGGATTAGAAAAATCAATGAATGAGATTTCAAAATTTAATTATTTTTTATATATAAAATTAAATATTTTACAATTCGAGAAATACAACCATGCATCATTCAAGCTAAAAGCATAAATCCGTATGAATACTCCTCTGGATAAATAAAATCAATTAAAATATATAAATAAAAAAAATAAAAAATTATAATATCAAATTATCAATACAAATTACAAAGTAATAAATAAATTTATAAAAGCAATAAATCATTAACTGAAAGGGATGTCAGGGGGGATTTTCGTTATTTAGGCTTACCTCAGGGGGGTTTTGGTAATTTGCCCTTTATTTTTTACATATTTAACAGAAGGATATAATAGACATTTCACGTTTTCAGTTAAAAAAATTCGGTCAACCGTTAGTCAAGGGGGGTTTTCGTAATTACGAGAACATGGGGGGGATTTTCGTTATTTACGCTTACCTCAGGGGGGTTTTGGTAATTTGCCCAAAGAAAAATATTAAAAATTCTAGATTTCAAAGATGTACTCGTGAGGAGTACGTAAAGAACTTATGAATGAATCACTATCTTGATCATTCTTACAACCAAGTCTAGAAACATATATACTAAACAATCTAGACTACAAAGAATGTACTTATGAGAAGTACGTAAAGAATGTACTCATGAGGAGTACAAACGACCGATTCTAAAACCACTCTAAAACACTCGTGAATATTCTTCAGCCCTCGGTTTTTATCTCGTCGAATCGATAATCTTCCTTGAGTATTGAAGTCGGTATTTATAGGCATTCCAAGCATCCACTCCTCAGCCCATGATCTGCAAGAAAACCAACTACAAGAGCACTCAAAAATATGGGTTAGTGGGTTAGTGGGTTAGTTTAAGGAGTTAGAATAATATTCACAATTAAACCCACTTAAGCACTACTTAGCCCACTAAGCACTATACTTAACCCACTAAGCACTATTTATTCCATAACTAAAATTTAGTTAGAAAATAAGAAAGTTAAAAACAACATGTGAAAATAATCCACGTAATTCAAACCTTTTCTTTATCATTTATGGGATGATATTTTTGGTTCTTCCTCGATTTAATCAGGTTGTTATCTGACTTTATTTCTGTATGTTTGTTTGTATTTTTAGTTTTGTTTTTGTTGATTAAGGTGTTGTTTTTTCTTTGGTTTTCTTCTCAATCCAGATTTTGTGCCTTTGTTTTCGATTTTCTCTGAATACAGATTATGTGCATTTGTTTTGTTGCCACGGGGACTGATTTTTTTCATTTTTTATTTTATTAATGCGTTGAATTAGATATTTTTTTGGACATTCTTTGAAAAGCTTCTTCGATTTTCTCTAAATCCAGTTTTGATGCCTTGGTGTTTGTCAGGTTCGATTTCTCTTATAACGTTTTCTTTTTCATTGTTACTGTATATTTGTGTTGTAATCACTATGCTTATAGGATTGGTTAGTTTATTGATAATTAATAATTATGTTTTTGTTTGTAGGAGTTGGTTCCATGCAGCACTTGCTACTTGTCATTTAACTGTGTTCTTTTATTTTGTTGTTTCTCTCTGTTTCATGTATACTCGCGTCGATTATATATACATATTAATTAATACTCCGATCAGTTAGGATACACAACGTAACCCTGGATCCTACCGCCTCCACCGTCGCCGGAAGCGGAGCGGCGGTAGAAACCTCAGCCGCTAATAATAGTTTCCGTTTTGTTCCGACGACAGATGATGTCCATCTTTACCTCTATCATCCTCACACACTCGCAGGTTTGTGTGTGTGTGTTTTTTGTTTATTTAACTTTTTTTTTAACTCTTGTCCTGATTTTTGTTCTCCATATATATATATATATAGAGAGAGAGAAATATCCACAACTCGGAGAAAACAGGGATCGAAAATATCCGAACGGATCTAGACCTAATCGAGCAGCTGGAATGGGCTACTGGAAAGCAACAGGATCGGATAAAGCAATTCATGTTTCAAGCTAAAATTCAGGTGTGTTTCAAGAACTTAGGACTCTATTAACGCTGAACAAGTACGCTATGTTTTTTACTCTCATAAGAATTGTACTCTCATAAGAATTGTAATCACATTATATATATATATATATATATATATATATATATGCACACACACGTATATGTTACTCCCTCCAGAAAAAAAATATACATCAGAAATTGAAAGAAAAATAATGGAGTTTCCAGAGCTTCCACCAGGTATTCGTTTCAAGCCTACGGATGAAGAACTCATCGTTTTCTACTTGAAGCCAAAGGTCGACGAACAGCCTGTCCCTCCTTCTGAAATAAACACCGTCGATTTTTACAAGAACGATCCTCAGACGCTAGCAGGTAAATATTCTTAATTGATTTGAATTAACTATTGATCTGATCATGCATGAAAATATTAGTATATTATTCCTGGATTTCTGTTTTTTTTAATATTAGGGTTCAAATTAATTGGTACTTTTTCCACTAGTAGACGATTTTTTCCCGGAAGACGACGTATACTACGGCCAGTATCAAGACGAAGGTTTCCAACCGCAACAACAACAAGACGGTTTCTTCCAACCGCAACAACAACAAGACGAAGGTTTCCAACCGCAACCACGACAACAAGACGAAGGTTTCCAACCACAACCACGACAACAAGACGAAGGTTTCCAACCGCAACCACGACAACAAGACGAAGGTTTCCAACAGCAACCACGACAACAAGACGAAGGTTTCCAACCGCAACCACGACAACAAGACGAAGACGAAGGTTTCCAACCGCGACAACAACAAGACGGTCTTTTCTGTTTCTTCCAACCACAACAAGACGAGGAGTCCGAATATATAGCGAGCTTATTACAAAATTTTGTCTAGTTAATTAAATTATCTATGCATCTTCAAAATTGTTAAGTCTCGCATTTTTTTTAATGGATAAAGCCAATTGTAGATTATCGAGTATACATATTTATATATATATATATGATTGTGTTTAAATGTAACTGTTGAAGCTATGCGTATCTATGTATTAATTTTAATATTTGAAATTACTGAGGTACACATATATATGTAACTCAGTAAAACAAGTAAATATCAATGTTGATATTTCTGATAAGGTAAAATTTCAACCACGGACCACTGTCATATTTTTATCATATGACATGCACAACTTTGAAAAAATAATTTTGAAATGGGAATTGACATCCAGGAATATTGGTTATTATTTCACGATCTCTGGTTCCATATGTAGGCCACCAAATTCACGATCTCTGGCTCCATATGTAGGCCACCAAATTAATGAGGGGCAAACAATAATTAAGAGATATTAATTTTGTTCTTTGATGTAATTGCGCTAGCTAGGGGTAAAAGTCGGGTGATTGGATCAGAAATAGGATTTTTGAAAAATTTCAAAAAAAATTCGGAAGAACAAAATTAATTCCAATTTCGATTAATTTTTTTTCGGAATTTTAAAATTCATTTCAATTCCAAAAAGCCCGGAAATTTTGGGATTTTGAATTTTTTTCAGAAATCACATAAATTTTAAAACTTCAAAGCATAATGGAAATTTCCATAATTTCTCAGAAATAAGAACATCAAGGTCGATGAAAGTAAAACTAATAATTGCTAAATTTTAGTTAAAAATAAATAAATAAAAATAAACCAAATATCCAATAAAACTTCTAACAACAATTTAATATGTCAAAATCCTAAAACAAAACTTAAATCAAATTAATGTTTCGGAAAAAAATAAAAAAAATAAAAACTTAAAATAAGTATTTAGAATATATATTATTTATAGGCTGTATTTTTTGGGGAAAAATCGAAGTATTTAATAATTTTATTTGAAGGATATTTTTGATTTTTCAGATCAAAAGACATAGAGGTTTTAGCATCCGGCACCCCTGTGTAATGTCTAATGGCTAAAAAAAACCCTGTGTTAAAACAATTAGCACATACCCCCTGTGTTACAAAAGACCCCTACGAGCTGATCGTGTGATACACTTGCCAAATATGCGACTGGGGCTTGACTTTTTGATGTGAAAAGACCCAAATACCCTTTACATTATAAATTTCAAAAATAATCCCCAAATAAAATTTCAATTTTTTTTTCAATTCAGTCCCTTGAAGTTTCAGAAAACCTCTTCTCCAAAGTCAGAGACTGAATTGCTATAAAACAAAAATCCCAAAAACACCTCCGCCGCTTCTCACCACCACCAAGCAGTGGCTCAACCATTCTACACCACCCCACCACCACCACATCTTTCAGATCTGCCTCCCACAACAGCAAGCTAGTTAAAAAAAATGTTTTTAAAATGAATAATCTAATTTATTTACCAGCTTGGTTTTATGGGTGACAATGACCCACATGCCACATCCACTTGATTCAGATAAACAATGTTGGGTTTGAGAACCGCCGTTCGTACTCACTTGACCTTCATACCCTTCCGCCGCTCTCCTCCACAAACCACCGTTGATCCCCCATATCTGTTTTCCTCTCCGGTCCTCCTCATCCATCAGAATATCGTCTTCCGATTCCAATTCAAATCCCAACCAAATCATCCTACACATCGTGATTTTTCACTTCCAGCCCGATGTCGATCTCTCTGCCGTCAACGCCATGATCAGCAACTTCAATGGCCTCATCTCCCTCGAGCCAGTTCTCCACATCTCCGCTGGTCCGGTTATTGGTTCTTACCGATTAGTTATTTGCAGTTGGATGGTTGGGTGATTTGCCGAATCCAAGAAAGGCGAAGAAGGCTAAATTGGACGACGACAACAACAACAATAACAACAACAATTTGCTGATTGCTGCTTTGCAACCACAACAAATGGATGATCAGCTTCAACAACAACAAGACGCCATTCAAGAAGTTGGTGGAAATAACTATTTTCCCGTCGAGGAATTTGCTCAAACTTTGCTGCAACAACAACAGATGGATTATCAACAACAAGAACAACGACAACAACAATATAATCCTTTTCAACTAGTAGACGATTTTTTCCTACAAGACGACCTATCCTACGGCCAGTATTATTTGCAACCACCACAGCTATGGTATCAACGACAACAAGAAGAAGTTTTTCTGCCACAACCACAACAACAACAATATAATGATCGGCCATGGGGGGCGCCGGGCGGGGTTGCTACCTGCATGCTTTCAGCAAGCGGCGACAAGCGTGGAGCGGAGGCGAGCGAATATCTAACGGGCTTATTACAAAATTTTATCTAGATAAGATATTTTTGTATAACTCTCTTAGAAAGTATTTTTTGTAAAACTATCTTTCCTTATTTCTCGAATGAGTTATTTTGTCGGGTGACCACCCGCTTTCATTGCCATTGTTCGCCGTTAATAGAATCAAGAAGGGGTTCAAAGAATTAAAGGATATTTTAGTTATATTAGTGTTATTAATATGAAATTATTAAGTCAAGAGAATTTTAGGTGAGGAAAAATTTTAGGTATTGAAAATTTTCCTCATTGAATTAAATGAGCAATTTTAGTTTTATTGCAATTAGGTACTTGATTAACAAAAAAAAAAAAAGGATAACCATACCAAACTAATATTAACAAAAAAACACCTTAATTCAAGAACAACAAAGAGCATGATAATAAGGTTTTTACATCAGAATGATCGGTCACCAAAAAGCAAGCACCACTTGATTAATTAAATTTATATATATATATATGGATCAATTGCGGCAGATGCGGGCGGTTGGCATGGTGACGCAAATGGGCGCATACTTCTTCTTAGCTTCGGCACTGCCCCGCTTGGGTTCGTCGGCCATCGCAATTTTAGCGACGGAGGACGCGGCGGCGGCCGCCACCGCGAACATCATGCCCCTCCTAGTGTTGCTGCTCTCTTCCTTGGCGGCGGTGGCTCCTACCTCTTCCGAGACGTCCTTTGAGGCGGCCCTCACCACCATCGCTCCACGGCGGGAGGTGGTGGGGAGATGCCTGGTGGCGGCGGCGGCGGAGGCGGCGGAGGCGGCGGAGCCACACAAGAATGAGGCGGTCATGGTCATGGAAGCCATTGTTAGATTTCTTGTTGTTTTTGGTGGGTATGATTTTTTGGGCGGTGTTGAGCGGAGTGAGAGGCGGTGTTTGGTTAAGTTAAAAAGGATGGTGTTGGAATGGATGGTGTTCATACATATGTGATCTATTTTCTTATCCCAAATATTGAGATGTTATCCAATGGCGTGGTGCCACGTGTTGGGGTTCTATCTCTGCAACATAATTTGTAGCTCTAAAATCTTACTCATTTTTGAAGATTTTTTCTTTCTTTGATTTGTATGGTGATCGTATGTTGCAAATTTGCAATTTGACCCCTTTTTTTTTTTTTTCCTTTTTATAATCGGTAAATTGCATTTTTCTACCCTCAAAATTAATATATAATTATTATTAGATCCTATCTTATTTAGGAAATTTAACAATTGATTAAAATTACAAATTCAACCTAATTTTTTAAGGGTAAATTCTACTTTCCCCCTTTACTTTGGTTCGATAGCACTTTACCCCCTTCTATTTTCGATTGCATCGATTTGCCCCTTGTACTTGAAAAATTGTCTCGATGTGGCTCTCGCCCTTAGTTTTCAGACCTTTGATCTTAACACCGTTTGATTTAAGTTTGAAAATTACAAAAATGCCACCCCTCTCAGTTTAAATAATTATTAAAAAAATTAAATTAATAAAAAATAAATTGTGGTTAGTGTCGTGGACTATGTTTTCTCGTTGTCTTGATTTTTTTTTATTATTATTATTATTATTATTATTATTTTTAATAATTATTTGAACTGTGAGAAGTAGCGTTTTTGTAATTTTAGAGCTTAGATCAAACAATGTTAAGGTCAAACGTTTGACAACTATCAACGAGAGCCACATTGAGACAATTTTTCAAGTACATGGGGGCAAATCGATGCAATTGAGAGTAGAAGGGGTAAAGTGATACCGAGCCAAAGTACAAGGGGAAGTGGAATTTACCCTAAGTTTAATCAACCCAACCCTTATTTTTTTTCGATGTGAATAAAAATAATACCAACCGGACCGGCTATAGAACCGGCGATCATTTGGGTCATGGTTTTATAGAGTCGAATCGGTTCAATCGGGTTTTTGATTTTTTTTAATATGTCATTATTTTATTAATATTAATATTTTAAAAGTATTATTTTCCTTATAATTTTTAATATTCCACCTATTATTTTCACATTTATATATCTCACCCCACTTTTTACTATATATCTTTTGTTTCTGCCCTATATTTTTCCATTCTTTATTCTTCAAATGCGACAATTGACACCGCTATTCGATCACCCATGACCATATTCGGCAATCATTCGACCACTCATGACTAGATCCGGCCACCTGTCTCTAAGCCTGTGCAGGTTCGCTCAAATCTAACTACACATAACCAACTCAGTAATAGTTTGAGACGTTTTGGCCAAAAATCGAATTCCTTGACTAACTCGCCGGTTCTTCGGTTTTACCCGGTCGAATTGGATTTTGCTCATTTGACCCCGATTTTTAATTTTTCCAATTTTAGAGGTCAGACCATACCGCTTCGAGACCGGGTCAAGGTCGAACTGGCCCGACCTGCCATTTTGGTCCGGTTCGAACAACATTTAAAAATACTACTCGATGAGTTTAAGTTGGATGTATTGTACAAGAAAGTTTATGTAATTTGTTTCACACATGGAGAGGTCTACATGTAATTCTAACTAATTTATGAGAAGACAATGTTTTCAAACATCTATTTTAGAAAATCTTAAGACTGCTAAGAAAATTCATATTCTACCTTCTACTATGACTATGAGTGCACAAATCCAGCAAAAAAAAAAATCAAGAAAATATAATGGTAAATTACGAATACCTCTGAGATAAGAATAAATAACTTACAAACCATTGAGGTAATGGTATTTACAAATTCCTCCTAAAACTAAGAATCCATTATAAGCTCTAACGCAATGAATGAAATGTCTCAATTACTCTTTTATTAAAGAAACAAATTATGGGTAAATTACAAGTACCCTGAGGTAAAACAAAATATTACATTTAGCCCCCTGAAAACATTTATTCCCTAGGGTTAGATTTAGAAATTCATAACGAATATTTCTTGGAATCTTCAAGATTCAATTACTCATAACTCTACAAGGCAGTAAGACCGTAACTGTAAGACGCAGAAATAGCTCAGGCAGTATTTTGTAATTACCAATACTACGTGAGTTTATAAATTATTTAGTGTTACCTCAAGGATGCCCGAAATTTACCCAAAATATAATCATGTGCAAAATAGTTTTATATCTCCAAGAGGTTGTAGTTGGAAGATTAGCAGTTGTTACCCATTAATCCATTATGCACCCAATTAGTTGATTTACAAACCACCATCGGGGCGAGGGATCTCGCCTTTTGGTACAAGTTCATTTACAAACCAAAACTGCAAATTCCAAGGCACCACAAAGATTTATCATTCCATACAGTGATAAATTTATTATTTCAGACAGTCATAAAAAGGATTGTTTAGAGGGGTTTTATGTTGCACAAAGTGAACAATATAGGGGATGCTTAACAAGCGGTAATAACGAACATAGAATAATATTAATAATAATAATAGCCTTTAACAGAAGACGTAGAAGTTTAAATAGCCGACTTGGGTTTGAATAAGTTCTTCTCTTTCAAGCTTTCAACAGTTTCCTTGATTCCTTCTTTAAGTGTAGTGAATTCGACGCCTAGAGATTTTGCCTTTTCTTTCGAGACCTGATACTTTGGCACAAATGGCTTGTCATCGGCACACCTGTATATATATAAGCAGCAAAATCACTAATAAGTAATAACACATTATGCAGATCAATCGGAGTTTCACATAAAAATAAAAAATCGAGACTGGATCACAATAAGAACTAGATAGAAATTAATCGGAGCTCAAATATGAAATGTGAAAATTAGAAGTTAATTCAAAGTTAGGAGACTTTACTTTTCAGGAAGTTGATAAGTAGGGTACAGTTCACGCAGTACGTTCACAATTTCCGAGTAGTGTGCAACACTCTCTACCAAACAATATCTTCCACTGGCAGAAGTATTCTCAAATGCCAGAATATGTGCGTTTGCAACATCTTTGACGTTTATCCATCCAAATGTAGAATTTGGATATGTCTCTGCATCTGTTAGTACAAAATTTAAAGTTACTAGAAAAAAGATCGTTACTAGGAAAATTATAAAGTAGAACATCTTAATTTGATCCATTCATAAATTTATACATTTTCCCGAAAAGAGAGCGAATATGGGTTTATAGGGACTGAAAACTGAGTAATTGACGAAAGGAACATACCGTTTATCAAGCCCAAAATTGCAGCGGAACTTGTGTTAAGTGTTGGCTGAAGCAACGGACCAATCACCATTGCTGGGTTTATGGTGACCATGTCAATGCCTTTCTCTTTCACAAACTTCCACGCTGCTTCTTCGGCCAATGTTTTTGAAAGCACATACCATTGCTGGTAGATACAATGTGACAAGAAAAATTAAAATGAAAGAGAATTATGTGAGTTAGAGGGTGATAAAAAAAGAAAATAACCAATTCTCAAGAACCATATTTTATATATTCTAGAGAGAGATTTAAATTATTTACTTAGCTCGAAAGGGAAGGGGTTACACTTTTATAGATTCAGAAACAACTCTGCCCCAGATAATGTTTAGTGGTCGAGAAAATATGTAACTACGAGAGAAGATAATCGTCACTGGCTTCAAAGTTTTATTTCGGCTTGATACATTTAGATGTAATGAAAAGTACAAGGGCAATATCAAAATCTAGAGACGAGATGAAGTTTGACTTTAGAAATGCTATTAAAATTATAAACTAATAAAAACAACTAAATATCTTATTTGTAATGGCAATGGACCCTTGTTATTAACATGACCAACATTTCTCGTATCTATAGAAGAGAAATAGAACGTTAACCTGCATTTCTCTGCAAATCTCAGGGTCCGACCACCAAGTCTCGTCAACAACCACTTCAGGTGTTCGAGGTTTACTATTGTATGCAACTGCAGCTACAGAAGATGTTAAGACAACCCGTTTGATAGATGGTGTTTTCGCACATGAACCAAGAACATTCAGAGTCCCCTTTAGTGCAGGATCGATCAACTCTGTCTGAGGAAAGTGAAAAAACACAACTCAGCAACAGATTCTTGCTAAACATTGTAAAGTTAGCTGGATCAAACCAAGAATTGAACGGAAATCTGACTATGAACAATTCCAAATATAATACTTATTCACATGATTAATAAATGAATCCTATATATAAGTAGCACTAATAACTGTGTCACGCTACAAAGTAGTAGGTAAAAGTTGATGGCTTTCAGATCTACACATAGTAGCGGTGGAAAAGTTTAAAGGCAAGTGGTTATCGAAGTCTTTGAAACACCAAATTCATAACTTTGTAAACTATGAAAAAGATGCACATGCTCTTTATTTCTTGGCTTTCATTAGCTTCGAATTACTGTCGAAACTAGCATATCAAAAGCATGACAGATTTGCCCTTAGTAGGGATTTGCTGTAGTATCCTTTTGTTGTTCAACTAACAAAATTTTCAAAGACCGTCACAAAAATCAAGTTTATCATTGTTTTTCTTATTCATATAATTTGCCATGCTTCGGAATTTAACAATTCCGAAACATTGGGTTAAAATAGTAAATCAACAAAAAAGCTTTTACAACGTTTTCTGAATAGATAAGTACTGGCAATTAAGTATACACCACCGCAGCTAATTTCATTTTCACGCTATTAAATGTACTATTTTGATCCATCTGCAGTATCGGAAAAATCTTATAAATGAAAAAAAAAAATAGAAAGGGGCAAGAACCTGTGGATCTGTGACTCCATGGTAAAAAGGAGATGCAGTATGAAAAACACCGTCACAGCCATCAACTACCGAATCAAAGGACCCCTCTTCAAGTAGATTTGCTTTTATCAACTGAAGTCTCTCCTTGGCTCCATCGAGCGCAAGTAAGTGCTGCGTCTTCTTCGGATCATCTGCACATTATTCCATATCTTCAATAAAAAGTAAATTTCAGGAGCGAAAAACGAACAAATACAACCAACCACTTTATCACCTTTAATATTTTACCAGTTGGATATAGTAATTTCTTTTACAGCTATACATTCATTCCCAGGACTATCCTGTAAATTAAATCTCCTAGCAAAAAATGATAATGAAAATCACATTGATTTAGGCCTTATTTGGTCGGCAAGATAAGATTAAATAATCTAATGAAAACTCAATTATTTTATCGGACTCCGGGACGTCCAACAAAAAATCTCCCTAAAAGAAAAGATTAGCAAGATAATCCGTGATAACATAATATTTGCTGGTCGATCGCGACAAGTTATTCGGGATACCAAACATCAAACGAAGTCCTATTTTTTAGTTAATAGTGGCTAATCTTCCCAACCAAACGAGGCCCTAGTCGATCAAAATTATCAAAAATTCAACAACCAGGTTGCAGTTAGTGACCCCCATTTGAAGGTGATAGAACAATAAACGCCATGGGAGATGGCCAACTTTTTTACCCAATTAGATTTAATTAAAAAATATTTTCCATAGTTGCATGGGCGATGTTGAACACCATTTCAATTCAACTAATTAAGCAGATTTTTACATAATTGAATCCGAAATCACCAAATGAAACAACACAGTGAACAAATCAATCAAACACGAAAATGGATAGAAAAAAAGGAATCAAATCGACGCATCTCTCGTCTCGATCGAAGGGCATATAAAACATCAAACAATGAAGAGAAAAATTGAGAGGTGTGAGAGAAAAAGGGGTTACTGACGGGGATCACGAACAGATGCTTTGACGGCGTAGCCTCTCTGGAGAAGGAATTTGACCAGCCAAGATGCTATGTATCCCGACGCTCCAGTTACGCAAACAGTCTTCATTGCAACAGATGATTCTGCTTTTTTTGATCTGTATCCTTTTCCTCTGTATCTTTGTTGCTGCGTGTAGTGTGTGCTCCCCTTGGTGTGTGAGGTTTTATATATAAATATATATATATATATATATTAAAACTTGTTTTTGTCAACACATAGGCATAGAGAGCCAAATTATATGATATTAACACCGGTTGATTGTTAATTATAGATCTACATATAATCACATATTAAATCTGAATATGTACTTAGTCGGTGCTTATTTAACATTATCTACGGTTAAGTTATATCCGGTATAAGTAACTTCGTGTAGCATATACATTTAGCTAGATAACGACACGTGTACTCATGACTGTATATTGATGCATGGCTATAAATGTGATCGGATAGATTTTTACCATTCACATACACATAAATCCACATTGGTATATGTAAATCAACAGTAAAAGAAACAGTCGTTGTAATCTTTATCGGGTGTAGCATAGAAATAAACCTATAAATTGAAAGTCTTTTCCACGTTTATAAAAGTGGTTGCTTCACCTAAACAAAATAATAAATAAATATATGTGGGGTTTAATTTATTTATGTCACACCGTGTCCACACATGTTGTCATAGTTTCGACACATCTCAATTTATTTTGATTTGATAAATCATAACTTTCAAATTCTTTATTCACAGCACGTATACACATTTTATTTAGTTGTTGTAATGTAAGAACACACAACCAATATAGATGTAGGAGGTCGTATAATAGTTTGTAAATTATATAAAAAAAAATGTAAATTGCACTAGGCTAATCATATGCAACAAGATCGACATAGTGACTGTTGGCAAATAAATTCAAATTTTGGTCAATTGACACAAGTTCACTTGTTCCAACCGCTAAATCGTCTCTTGCGGTACGATATATATGCACCTTACTTGTACGAGCTTATGAAATCTATTATATAACATCCATTAAGGACTGGGTTTATAATTAGCCCATTTCATAAATATGTGATTGGGCCAGTGGGCTAAAAAAAGAATTCGGTAGAAAAATTAATTGCATTAAACATGAATAAACGATATATGTATTATACATTTAACTATTATAGATTGATCTTGGGCCTTATGTGAACAGTTGAACATGAAATTAATATTTGATCATATAGTTAAGTAATCATAAAATATAAATAAATAAATAAGTGTTGAGAAGGAACAGCAGTGAATCAACTCTAAAAACTCGTCCGTGACTACGAATGCATGAATAAGAAGGTGTTTGGCTAAACTTATAAAATGTTAAAATGAGTTTATAAGAAATTTTAGAGGTTATAAGCTCTTTCAAATTGATTGGTAATTTTTTTTTTTTTAATTTTTTTTTTAAATAAGCTGTTGAAGAGCAAATAAGATTTTTTTAAAAAGTATCTCTACCCCAATTTTTTATTTAAGATACAAAAAATAGGAAATAAACTTATTATCTAAACATTCTAAATATTAATTCTAAAAATAATATATAACAGCTTATCAATCGTAAGAGTTTATCATCTGTTTAAAATAAGCTTAGCCAAACACGTCCTTTAAGTATGGCACGGATTTCATTAATCGTCTAGACATGAAATGAAATTTCATGGGAAAAAAATGCATTGCCATGAAGTGTTAGGTATGAGAGACACAAACTATATTAAGTTAATTATGTGTGACTAGCTCTACCTAACGATCGTTGACAATGGAATTCGAACTTGGGTAACTGACACAAGTTCATTTACTCTAACCGTTAGGTCATCTCTTGCGGGACTAATCGTCGTCTCATTTTCCGATTTACCTGACCATAAATATGGTACCAATACTTACTAAACACATTAATTAGTGTAATATAAATAGAAACAATATTATATTTGACCTATAATTCATTTTAATTCTAAAAATTTACCTTCAATGACCCATGGAGCTTCTACGACATCTCTTTTATATAACGACGTACGAATTTTACTGGATAAATTAAATCCCAAGATAAATTCAGAATCAATGAAAGCAATTGTTGATACTATATAGAGTGACATGTTTTCTTCATAAATAAATCATAATACAATAAAATTGTGTGTGAAAAAAAATCAAATTTTACAATTATTAATGCATGGACCATATAACGTGGGAGATTGTACAATGTACAAAATGGTATATAGCAGGGACCATATATGTAACGAGGTTGATATGCACTAAACATGTAATGTCATAATCCATCTCTCTTTAAAGAAAACAACTATTTATTGAATCCAACTTATTAAGGACCTGATATATATATATATATATATATATATATATATATATATATATATATATATATATATATATATATATATATATATATGTAATGTTTGGATATTTTTATATAATATATATATATATATGTACTCTTCGCATCTCCACAAATTTTTATAATTTCTTTAGGGGATTCAATTAAATTTTTTGATGTGTTATATGTGTTGTTTTACTAAAATACCCCCGGCGAATTGCCCCTAACTGAGGGAAAAATTCCCATATATATTGTTTGTTCACCGTTTTTGTGCGCCGTTTTAGCTAACAGTTTTCGTTCACAATTCGTGAGTTTCATGGTCTAAGAACAGTTATTTTGATTTGAAAACTTAGAGGGTGTTTGGCTAAGCTTATAAGATGTTAAAAAGAGCTTATAAGATGTTTTAGAGCTTATAAGCTCTTCCAAAGTGTTTGGTAAATTTTTTTAAAAATATCTTAATTTTTTTTAAATAAGTTGTTGGAGACCAAATAAGATCTTTTTAAATAAGTACATCTACCCCACCTTTTTATTTAAGATCTTATAATGAGTAAAAATAGGAAATAAGCTCATTATCCAAACACTCTAAAAATTAATCATAAAAATAAGATGTAACAGCTTATCAGCTCTAAAAACATTTTATCAGACGTAAGAACTTATCAGTTGTTTAAAATAAGCTTAGCCAAACACCCTCTTAGTAGCAGCTTGATCGAGCTTCATTCTGTGAATTTTGTTTTATTTATTTGATGTAATTATTTTATAAAGATTTAATTTTGGGTGGTGTGAAATTGAGATACATAATAGTTTTGGATTGTTGCTTACAGATATATCAAGAAAATTCAATAAATATGCATGAATTATAGCAAAAAATATAAAAAGTCACTATTTTATTTTATTTTATTTTTGTTATTAATTAGTTCTCAACTGATTATCTTTGAATTAGTTAAAGAGTGAATGTATTTAATGTATCATTATATTGGATTCAATGATACATTAATACTTATTGTTTAATACTTAAATACATATATGCATGGAAATTTTATATTTTACTGTTCTATTAATGAAAAACAATAAATCAATTTGAGTCGAGTTTGAGAAAATGACAAGTCATAAGTATAATAAAGTTAATTGGTGGCGTGTGAGTTGAACATTTAACTGTGAAGTCCAATTACATTTGAATTCATGAATCTACCGAAAATCAACTCACATAGACCAAATGTTACTCCTCTAATTATATATGCATGTTAAAAGTTGAAAAATAGAAAATAATTAACCACGACTCATAATTAATACATGTTACCCTGCGAGCATACACATAGATAGCAAATTAGATGTAATAAATTAATTATATCATACGAAAGGTTTATATGATATATGCTATGCCTTGTAATATACACAGGGTAGATCGTTTTTATCAGAATACTAGTTCTATTCTAAATCACCAAGACAAAAAAAAAAAAAAAATAATAAAATAAAATAAAAAGACCTCTTGATTCTATTCCTAAAAAAATAAAAATCTATATATATAAATCGAATTTTAATCCAATTTTTTTTTTCAAATAATCAAAAGAATAATAAGTTTGAAATTTTTAAACACAAAATTAAATAATAATTTATTTTATTTAGCAAGAATACTAGGTGAAGACCAGAGGATTCGTTTAAGCGTAATTAACTAAAGAAATTAAATAAAATCGACCCACAGACACACACATTGGTGCCTGTAAATCAATGGTAAAAAATTACCCGATGATCTAACCTTCATCGGGTTATATTTATGTACACCCGATGAAGACTACACCGAGGGATTTTTTACCGTTGATCTACACACACCAATATGGATGTGTGTGTTTGTAAGTATATGAATGATATAAATCTACCTAGTGTATTTCACCCGATGTATCGTAGAATAGACCCATTCACCGAATGTATCATATAGAAATAACCTCATATATGATATCATATGAGATTTTTGTTAGGTGAGTCTGTAAACTTAATATTGATTTTTTGTAGATTTATTTATTTATTTTTTGCATAAGATTTTTTTGTAGATTTACCATCAATCATATTGCTTCTATTTTAATTTTCCTTTCATGATGACTAAATGTACATAGTACATGACGTCATCCATGCATCATGTGAAGCACTCACTCACTCATGACTCATGACTCATGACTCATGAGTGATCAACAAACTGCAAACACAATAATATTAATTAATTGGCAACAAAAAAAATATTAATTAATTGAAATAGAGTAATTTTCATCATATATCACTCATTATAAAAACCAAGGGAACCTAATCTCCAATAGTACTACTATGGCTTCTTTACACTCATATTCTTTCAACATTCCCACACACAAAAACTTCCGACCATCAATATGGAACAACAAAGGAACCATATCATCAAATCTCTTCTTTTCAAACAAATCATACCAAACATTTATTGCAATCAAATCTTCAAGTACTAGTACTACTCTTCCAATTTTATCTCAAGAAAAAATCGAAGAAAAAATCGAAGAAATTGCCGATAACAATCAAGAATCCCCCGAAGAAAACCCGAAACAACTCGATGAAATATGGATGGAAATCCAGGGATGCAATAACTGGGAAAATCTGCTCGAGCCAATGAACCCACTCCTCCGCCAAGAAATCATTCGCTACGGGGAAATGGCACAAGCGTGCTACGACTCCTTCGATTTCGACCCGAATTCAAAATACTGCGGCACGTGCAAGTACGAGGGGGCCAATTTCTTCGAGAGGGTCGGGTTATCGGGTCGGGGTTACACCCTGACCCGATACCTGTACGCGACCTCCAACATCAACTTGCCAAACTTCTTCCAGAAGTCGAAGATAAGCAGCGTCTGGAGCCAGCACGCCAACTGGATGGGCTACGTGGCGGTAGCCACCGACGAGGCGGAGATCCGCCGCCTCGGCCGCCGCGACATCACCGTGGCGTGGCGGGGCACGGTCACGTACCTGGAGTGGATCCACGACCTCAAGGACATACTCCACCCGGCCCACTTCCGGGCCGACCCGTCGATCAAAATCGAATCCGGGTTCTTCGATCTGTACACGTCGAAAGAGTCCAGCTGCGAGTACTGCTCGTTCTCCGCCAGGGAGCAGGTTCTGGCGGAGGTCCGGCGGCTCATCCACCGTTACAGAGGCGAGAAGCTGAGCATCACCATCACAGGGCACAGCCTCGGAGCTGCGCTGGCGTTGCTCAGCGCGTACGATATGGCCGAGATGAAACTGAACCTCACCGGCGACCACGGAGACGACGCCGTTTCGAAGATCCCCCTGACGGTTTTCTCATTCGCCGGGCCGCGCGTGGGGAACTTGAAGTTCAAGGAGCGGTGCGATTATCTAGGGATTAAGGTTCTGAGAGTAGTCAACGCCCACGACAAAGTCCCGAAGATGCCGGGGATCATCACCAACGAGAAGTTCCCGCACCAGAGGTACATCGAGGACAAGCTCTCCTTCCCGTGGAGCTACGCGCACGTGGGGGTGGAGCTGGCGCTTGACCACACGCGCTCGCCGTTCCTGAAGAAGACCGGCGATCTGCGAGACGCGCACAATCTGGAGGCGCACCTCCACCTGCTGGACGGGTACCACGGCAAGGACGGCGAGTTCCGGTCGGCCGGCGGCAGAGATATCGCGCTTGTGAACAAGAGCTGCGGGTTCTTGAAGAGTGAGTGTGAGGTGCCGCCGAACTGGTGGCAGGACGAGCATAAAGGGATGGTGAGGACCGGCGACGGGCGGTGGGTTCTGCCGGAGAGGCCCAGAGTGGAGTCGCACCCGCCGGACACCGCCCACCACTTTGCGCAAGTGATCAAATATGCTAGGGCTAAATTGGAATTGTTTTAGGTTTTCATATATGCATGTCGATTCGATTATTATTAATCTATAATTACTAGTTCTTACGTGCATGTGTTAATTGATTTGTTTTTGCTTTTAATTGTACTTATCAAACGTACGTCTAGCTCCTAAAAAAGGTTTATTTGTTTATTATTAGCTAGGTTTAATTTACAGACTTAATTGAGTTTATTCTCTTACATGCATGCATACCATAAAAAGGTACTCCCTTTAATTAGTAAGTAGTTAAGCTTTTAATTAAAGATGTAGATTGTTTTATTTATTTCTATAAATTAAGTGGAGCACTTGGCTTAGGGTGTTTGGCTAAGATTATTTTAAACAACTGAAAAGCTCTTACGTCTGATAAGATAATTTAAGAGCTGATAAATTGTTACATTTTCTTTAGGATTATTTTTTTAGAGTGTTTGGATAATGAGGTTATTTCTTATTTTTACTCATTATGAGATCTTAAATAAAAAGGTGGGGTAGATGTACTTTTTAAAAAAAATCTTATTTGCTCTCCAACAACTTATTTTAAAAAAAATAAGATCTTTTTTTAAAAAAAATTACCAAACACATTGGAAGAACTTATAAGCCCTAAAATATCTTATAAGCTCCTTTTAACATCTTATAAGCTTAGCTTAGCCAAATACCCTCTTAATTAATCACGTTTCTAATTTTATTATTATTATCACCGGTGGCGATTAACCAGTGATTTTATTTATTAATTAGGTGATTATATTCTAATTTTGTGAGGTTATATTTTTACGTTCTCATGTACAGAGATGTGAGGAAATTAGATGCTACATTGGATGATGTTAATCGTAGATCTACAGTACATGATAATCACATGCTTTATATTTTGAAAATCGAGTCCAACGAAAATGGAGATTTTGAGTACCAAATTTCACAGAATCGGAGTATAGATTAGTGTTTTTATTTTGTACTAATTATAAACTCTTACGACTAGTTATGTACGTAATATATATATATATTTGAAATATCTATATTGCGTTTCTGTATGTAATCTTAAATAATTTTGATCTTTACCAGGCATATATAAACATGGGTGTGTGTGTGTACGTAATTATGTGTAGATCTATAATTAACAGTCATTTGATATAAATAACATAATATAGCATCTAATTTCCCGACACGTAAACACATTTTTTCCTTATCATCTATTTTTATTTTCCAAATTAATTTTAATTATTATCTTCTTCAAAGTAAGGAATCTGAGATTTGAAGTTCTTAAATTGTGGAATATATATAGTTGTCAATCTCTCTCAATTTCGAGGTCCACATTTTGATGAGCTAGGTTATGTGTCTAATGCGCAACAGAGAATTGGACCATGTTACGTTATACTACATTGATGATAAATTGTCCATATTATATTTGTTTTTTATTCACCATGATAATGAAACTCGTATATATGTTATTACTTCTACTTTAGTACATCTGTTTGAAATATAGTAATTCACAAAATTATATTTCTTTTTTTTTTTCTCTTGCTAATTAATAATATAATTAAATCACTTTTTTCAAGATTCGGAAGACCACTTTATTATATCTAGTAGAATATTTTTTAATATATATATATATATATATATATATATATATATATATATATATATATATATATATATATATATATATATATATATATATATATATATATATATATATCACATTCCCCTCATTTCCACAATTAAAAAAAAAAAAAAAAATTCTCCCAACTTTATTTTCAGCCACTCATCTGCATTGATTTGTTTTTTTTTATTTTTTATTGAAATTTATTTTTTTCTAGTTGGTCGCCGGTTCTTCCACCAAAATTTTTAGTGACGGAATTTTTATTTCCAACCTTTTACCATTTTTCTATTTTTTTTCACCATCCTATTTTTTATATCCAATATGGTCTATTCTATGCTACACCCGGTGAACTTCACCGGATGTCTTAAGATTTTGACATGTGGCATTTAATAATTAAGTAGTTACTTATGTAACTTTAATTATAGGAAGATAAATAAATTAATAGAATCACTTTATTATAGGCAATTATGATTTTCTCTCTCCAATTCTTTCCTTATTCTTCAATTACACATTCGTTAACCATCTTCCACCATTATAATGCATTTCTCCATTATTTGTTTAGATTATGTAACAATGGCTTCCCACCCAAATGACGAAATTAAAATGACACTGATAATGCAAACTTTACAATTAAATTAACATAAGCATAAGTGGAAAACCATTTTTGGATAAATTAATGTCTGTTTTAATTTTTTATTTTTGAGTGATATACAAGCATACCAATATTTGACTCGGAAGTAGAAATTTATCAAAGTCAGATTTCACAAATAAGAGCCAATATCTTATTTTCCAGTGCAATTTATCGTGAAAGAACTTAATAAAAATTAAAATAGTGAAGAAATGCAGTAATGGTAGAACACAGTTAATGGAGGAGTAAATTTTTTTTTTCCTCAATCGAAAAATGGAGAGGTAATTGATAACAAAGAAATAATTGGAGAGAGAAAATCTTATTAACTATATTAAAGCGATTTTATTGATTTAATTTTTTTGCTAACAATTAAATTTTATATAATTAACTATTTATATTATTAAATGCCACATGTCAAAATCTTAAATACCCGGTGAAGTTCACCGGGTGTAGCATAGAACAGACCATCAAATATATAGATATGATTTAATTTCCTTTCGCCTATTAAACTTTATAAGTATTTTCTAGTGCAATTACTTTGTTGATTAATCTCTTCAAGGTGAACCTAATTCCGAAGAAAAAAATTGGCAAAAATTGCTCCAACTAAAGACTTCTGTGAGATCGACCACCAAATTGTTCTAAAGAGCTTACGCATATAATATACGAGTAAGTAATCAAACTATTTTATTTAATTATGAATAAATTATTTGATATTACTTGAAATTTGCATGCAATTGTGTTCGACTTAAATTAAACACATGATTATGCATGCTGCTTAATTATGCTTACAGATGAATTTACGTTCATAGAAATCACATGATAGAATTTTTTTAAATTCCGCTGCATTATGCATGGTTAATTACCATCCATGACATGAAATTAACAATAATTCGAATTAAATAAATCAATTTCTGGTACAAGGTTTGAAAAAGAAATAAAAAAATCAATTTTGTCAAGATTGAATTTAAAAAGAATATTGCTTTGACGTAAGAAAATTGACAATAATTCAAATTAAATAATGGACACAATTTCATTTCAAAGTTGATGTCGAAATGTAAAGATATAGTCAATTTAATGATGCCCTGTCAAAATTTGTCTTTGTTAAATAAGTAGAGTATGGGAATTGGTTTCTACAGTGGAAGATAGAATTGGTTGAAGAATTCTAAATGACTTCATCTTATATATAAAAGAAAGAAACGCTAGGGCAACCCTAAGAAATCCTAATGTCATATTTGTAATTTTTTTTCAATTTTTATCAAATTTTTATCTCCTTAATATTATTTTAAATATTATTTTTGAATTTTATCATATTTGTATCCCCTAAATATTATTTTAAATATTATTTTTTATTTTTATCAGATTTTTGTCTCCTAAATATTATTTTTTATTTTTATCAAATTTTTATCTCCTAAATATTATTATAAATAATATTTTTTTAATTTTATCAAATTTATATCTCCTAAGTCCTAACTATAATTTTAAATATAATTTTCAACTTTTAGCAGATTTTTATCTCCTAAATATTATTTTCGAATTTTATCAAATTTATATCTCCTAAATAATATTTTAAATATTTTTTTCGAGTTTTATCATGTTTTTATTAGTTTTTTATCTCCTAAATATTATTTTCATTTTTTATCAGATTATTGTCTCCTAAATATTATTTTCGATTTTTATCAAATTTTTATCTCCTAAATATTATTTTAAATAATAATTTTGATTTTAATCATATTTTATCTCCTAAATATTATTCTAATTATTATTTTCATATTTTATCAACTTTTATCTCATTAACATTATTTGAAATATTATTTTCGATTTTTTATCAAATTTTTATCTCCTAACTATTATTTTAAATTTTATTTTTGATTTTTATCTCCTAAATATTATTTTTTGATTTTTTTATCAAATTTTTATCTCCGAAATATTATTTTAAATATTATTATCGATTTTCATCAAATTCTCCTAGATATTATTTCTAATAATCTGATTTTCGATTTTTACAGAAAAGGGTAAATAAATCTGATTTTCATCCCTAGCGGATTTTGTGACATCGTTTTACAGAATGTCTGCAACATTTGAATTTTATTTCTTCCCTACCTAAGGCTTCTTCTTTTGGTAACCCGACTTTAGATTTTGTTTCTTATCTTCTTCTTCATCCTATTGCATGTGTGGCAATTAGTTTACATCTTTTTCCATCATGGCTTATAGGTAATTTCATTTTGTTAAATTATGTGTTTCATTAATTTATACAAAAGTTTTCAAATTTTATGTATAACAATATAATTATTTCATTTTATATGTTATTGGACATGTTATTGAAAGGGATGATTTGAGAAAATTAACCAAAAATGGGCGGAGCCACAAGCTATTGGAAGTCGACCTTCAAGACTTATTGTTTGTATGCGATGTTTAATTTATTGTTTATATTTATTTTTGTTTCTTAATTTTCCAATTGTTAATTCCAGTGGCAAAACAACCTTAAAATGAGGCAGTGGAGAAGGGCTTAGTTCCGATGCAAGATGTATAGATAGCCTTTTACGATGGTATGTTGTCGATAGTTTAGTTTTGATTATGTTAACTTAGTTATTAAATCTAATTACTTTTAAGCTCAACATGGAAGACATAATTGATGATTTTTTTCCTGGTTCAAATTTTCAATCTACTGGTATTAGCTGATTCAATTCATTTGGAAAATTATTCAACAGTAAAGTTATGTCCTTTTTTTTTTTTTTGTGTGTAGTATACTTAATAATGTTCCAGTATAATAGAATTTTGATCATACGATACATCAAACGTTTGTTTATATTCTTACAACATCAAAATAATGCAATTTGTTGTCCCGTGCATCGCACGGGTACAATTACTAGTATATATAAATTGTGGGGAATAGTGTTTATAAACACGTGCGAATTGTGTTGTAATGTTTTTGCCCTTGTC